TCACTATCAGTTTAATCGATATCAAACTGAAGGTACTAAATTGAATTCAGCTTTTCATGTCAAACCAACTGTCGGCGTAATAAACATTTGAATTATTCAATCTAACACGTGAAATAAAATGACTTCGATCCTATCGAAGTAAGTTGTGTGTCGATTTGTTGACTGTTATTATTTGTGGAGCGGCAACAGGTGAGGTGATTATACAAATTCGGTAGGTCACGCAGGCACGCGATGTATGCCCACTACGACAATGTGCTGACCGTCCGCCAAATAGCCGCCGCGAACAGTTGAACCCGTCAATGCTGACGACCGCCTTCGTCATCTTACGCTATTTCTTGTTAATTAGTTTCCAAATAGGTCACCCCTCAATAACACGCCACGTCGCATCACATGTCACATCGACCACACCGTGATGTCGATTTGCTTCACGTTCTACTAAAGTGTACATATTATTATTGACGTAATTATTTTACGACATTACAATATTTTCTATCATTTATCAGAAATTACTTTAATTAATACCTGCCAAGGTTTTTGACCCGAACCAGTAACTACTTATAGATCCTTCCATCATGTACAATGGGCGATGTAAAATTCTATGTATCGACGTTTAGTGGTCCCATAAAACTGGACAAAACCAATAAAGTAGTCCTTAACCTGTATTGCATTATGAGTTAAGTGGCGGCCGGCTGGCACCGGTGGTGGTACGCTATGTGTGACGTAGTGGTGGTGTGGCACTCAGTCCAGTTACAATTAGACCGCCGCTCGGTTTGAACTTACTACGCGCTACGCTTTTATAGTATTTGGACGGCAATGGCTAAAGAAAACCCTTATCGCGCTCACAGATATGCTATTCAGCAGATCGTTTAGTTCTCGATTACGAAATGAAAAGAAGGAAATTGTGCTAGGTAATCGTTCCTCACGTTATACAGTGTCCGTACATACACGTGTTGTACAGAGTGTTACTGTCCTGTGTTCAGTGTGTTTTTGTGTGGTTTTCAAAGTAAAATCGAATGTAATGGAAAGCCGGCTATGGAAATATTAAATTGTAATTATTACCTGTGGTCTTGTGGATATGTTCTAACTATTGTGATACCCGTGTTTTGCACTGCCACAAACTTAGAAATTTAAGGATGAAAAGCTGGATGTGGGCATGGTCCCGAAGGACGTCAATTTCGACGGAGATGCGGCATTAACGTCTTGATGCGGACGGTCATGACAATACTGAACTATTGCCTTTGTTATGAGTTTATTAACTCGCCAATAGTTTATATTACTAGTTCAGTATAAGTATTGATTTTGCCATTCTGTTGAACCCAAGTGCATTGTTTATGTATGTGTATTATATTCCACAAATGGTTCCATAAACCACAATTTCATTGTATGTTTGAGCTGAAATAAGGTTCACTTCGCCAATTTTGTGACTATTGACCCGGTTTCCAATTCAGATATCCATGTAAAGCAGGTACGTAAGTTGTATGTTGTGCGTGCTGTTATATTGTAAAACATTGTAGTAATGTACCTACCCTTATTTTGTATGTAGACATAAATAGAAATTCCACACAAATGGTTATTGATCAAGTTTGAAAACAATCATATTAATAACATTCTTATCAATATTCGAAAAGTGCGGCCTCGATTAATAGCGAATACTCTCCTACTACTTCGTGTCCATCAATCATTACCTCAGAGACGTCTGCTATAAGATTGATTTTGTTTAATATTGTATGTATTGCGAATGACTGATGGTTACAAAATGCCCATGCCAAGGTAAATGCCGTTTTCTTTGTTACGTTCATTATCATACGCCATTGTTACCTCCAATATTGGTATCTTATCACACAAAGGTAATTGAATCGATTTCCTTTTTGCTTAATTTTACTGAAGGGATAGATAGATCTTGGTTGTCGAAAGTTTCCTGCACGTAAACGTATCTGATCTGAAGCAGACGCCTACGAAAGTTGTAGCCCGTAGCAACTCTCGTAGCTCCAGTAGAGCAACGGGACAATGTAGACACTAATGATGTTGACACTAGAGGCGGGCTTGTCTCACTCGTAGCACGTCCCCTTCCTCCATCACCCCCGACACTGCGCACAACATAACACGCTTTCGAGTGCACTTACCTAAACACGATGCCACTAAATGTAGCAAGCACTCCTGGAATATCTTCAAATAAATTCTATTAAGCGATTTTATCGTCTGTGTGTAGAGTGACAGAATGTACATCGAAAGTGCTTAGTTTTAACTCGTACTAAACATATAGTACAGCACTTTATTCTTTATGTATTAACTTGTACATATAATGTAGATAGATTCAGTTTCGTAACTCCTACGGCATCTACCAAGTTTCTTCTACGTCATTATACTTTAACTTTGTTTACGTACCCTACATAATGAGTCTGTCTCACCGTCCCAGTTGGGTTAATTATTTCTTTATTCATTTAGCTAATGTATTTTACCTCGAGAGTTTTTTGTTTACAGCTTTTAATAGGAAATATACTAATATCTTTGTTTAATAATCTTACTTATGTTATACAAAAAATTGACATGTAGGTATTAAAAAAAACGCAACGTCTTCACTCAATTTATTCAGAAATGAAACTAACATAAGACGTTCTGTGTAAACTGCTAATATAGTCGCCGTCATACATACTAAGTAGCTTTTACTTCAGTTTATTTTTATTCTAGTTTACTAATGAAAGCGCAACTTAATATATTCAGATCCACAGCAATCAGCATGAAGTTAAATCACTGAAGGAATTGTACAATCTTATATCTACAATCTACATTCATTGACACTTTGTTTTAATCTTCGCGATGAACTAATTCATTTCAATTTATTCTGGTGAAACGACCCAAGCAATATTTGTCTGGACTAGAATCATATTAATGAAGCAATACATTTATTTATGCAAGTATGCCATTAAAATTACGTTTATACATCAAGTTAAATATCATAAATGCGAAAGATTGTAAGTACTGATAATAACACATACTACTACGGCCTTTTCCCTTAGTACTGTGGACAAAGCCACTGGCAGAAACTAGTACGACATATTATCCTAGTCTTTTACTCCATTGGTGGAATTCTACACACATCAAATTGGTTTCGAAATAATTTTACTGAAATCGTATTCGTTCCTGAATAATTCACAGTGAAATTTTCAACGGCGGCTAATCTAAAATGAATTCTCGTTTCGAGGCATACATTGTTATTCGTAACAGGATCCTTTTGTAATACAAATGTGTACTTTTATTATCCTGTTATAATACAGATTGAAATTTTGTTTGACTTGAATCCAAACAATATATAACGCGAAAAATGGTTTATTACAAATTTCTATTTTTCAAACAGCAATCTATTTCAATCGATCGTAAGAGTAATATGTTTTTGTTCTTGCGTGCTTATAATATTTGTGTTAAATATTGATTTGGTATTTCCATAACATAAAAACGAAGTAAATTGTAATGTCTATATATGTTTTAAATGGCAATCAACTTGTTGGCACTCTTGGGTACTGTAAATTTATAAAGGTTTGCAAATAGCCAACAGAGAACGAGCATTAAACCATTCAGACTTCGCTCTTCCCAAGAGTGCAGTGCAAAGTACCTAACTATGAAGTTATACATGTACGTAAAGTTAAAAGGGCAATATTGTGGGTAGCCTTGAACAATATCCGAGCTCTAAATGAGTGCAATAAACTTTGAACTTGGCAATCTACTAAAAGCGTTGAAACGAAGCTAATGTAGACGCTAGCAATGTTAAATCAGAATTTGTAGAACGGACGGTTTTGCTGGAGTCACGATTTTGACTCGGAAATATAGGAAAACGGGTGCCGGTCCAACGACGGAGGCCTAAACAATACAGAGCTTTACCAACTTAACTGTGACTAACTACTACGTATATTGAACCTACTATCCACCTTGTCATCAAAAAATCGGTTTTAGGTGGACAATCGGGTCGGGTGGAAATTCCATTACAAGTTTCCAAGTTCAACTCAATTAGTTAATTTAATTTTGAATTAATGATTCTAAATTAGTTTAAAATTTCCCATGTCGCATTTAATTAATGATTTTAAATTAGTTTTATTACTTTAAAGTTAAGTTGAACTGCTTCTTTGTCGTGAATTGTTGGTTATGTTTCTAAGCCTCGCTCCGATTTACATAGAATTGTCTACCTCTTCATATCGAGCATTGCCTGTCAACACATTCGATCATCAATTAAGTGTAATTGACAATACGGCTGACCTGCTGTTGAGGCGTCACGTCGACCCACATAAAACATTTTGAATAATATCTTACTCAAGGTTTTCTTTGGAACTTACAAACAGTGCTGTATGTTTCTTTAACAAAGCAGACTGTTTGTCTTACTATCAAACCGTAATTAAAGTAAAATCAATAAATTGTTAATGTAAATAAGCAGTATTATTGAATGGGCACCAAATAGGAATTGAGGTCAAAATATACTAACATCAACATCCGGAAATAATTCCAAATACAGGCCAGATCTTCACGTGCCGCTGAGCACGGGAAAATAAATATACACGAATTATAAATACACACAGTAATGCAAGAAATGTTAAGAAGTGATAAAATATTTAAAAACATGTCTGTACGTATACATCAATTATGGTTTTTCGAAGAAGTGATGTAGGTTAACATTTGGATTTCGCCCCACGATAGCCACCCACCTCCCTAGCCATCACAAAAACCCACTTTCCTTGGTAGCCTCCTATAAATGCAATGTAAAAAGTTCTACTGTTTTTGTCTCCACTGTCACTACGGAACACCTACTAAACATTTATATAACTATTAGGAAGGGTCGCTTTGTTTGAAAAGTGACTCGTGTATTTACTTACCTACCTATAACACTATTTTTCCCATTCTTCACGTTATGAAAATTTTATTTTAGTCGTATTACTGTTGGTGTATTGGTTGCAGTACGAGTTTGTAATGCGTTTTGTTGTCATACTTATTAAAGCAATGTATGTTTGTCGTAGGCTCCATCATGTTCCATGTGCGGCGGCGGCCTGCGGATGTGCAGCCGCGGAGACGCAAGAAAAAAGTCGGAGCAGGCACCGGAGCCGCTGGCGGACGGCCCGGAAACGAACCCATGCTTGTAGAAATGTCACCCGACGGTTCGTCGCTGGAAAACGGACGGCGACTCAGAATAACAGATGTTGTTGAGGTTTGATATTTCCTTTTACATTATTCGTAGTCATTTACCGTTCCATTTCTACCCCTTCCCATACATTAGGCGGAGCCGCTTGATTCCCAAATTGCCTATCTGTTACGCCAATTGCCAGACGATGATCTCGGCGAGTCGGCATTGAGGTATTCTCGTTTAATAATTTACTATCCAATTTATAGCGAGTGAGAGTTGTAATGGACAACCGGATAGACGTCCGTCCGTATTCCACTAGAATTTGCCTATACTTTATGACCTGGATTTAATTTTAGATAATTAATTTTATACTTTTGTGACCGATCATAAAAACTGAAGAAAAAAACTGGATGTAGATAGATATATAGATAGATTTTCCTATAGATGAAGGAATAGTTAGAATGAATAAATATAAATAAATATTAGAATAAAACATAAAAGCGCTTTTTCCGGTACAAACAGACTGCAGGTGAGCATAGTTAATCCCGTATTATTGACACGAATTATGGAATACGATGCGGATAAACTCTGCGCTCCCTCCTCTATCGGACTTACAGCTAGTAAATCAAGGAATCGTTTTCGGAATATAGTCAAATCTATTACTAATTCATAGACTGGCTATGACATATTCCTTAATCAATAATCTGCCGTTGTGTTAAGAGATGAACGACGTGACAGTGGACTGCCGTGGCGTAGAATTTTGAAGATGTAAATTTCACATCCTGCCAGATTACAAATCCTTACATATTTCCTTTTGAATATGCTGAACTTGAAATAGGCTAAACGTTCCGAAAGCCCTTAAGCCAATATAAGTATATTATACATATAAAGCTTACATTCGTTGTGTATGACCCAATACTGTCGTACCTACATATGTATGAGTAGGAATACGCCTATCCTTTGGGAGCACTCAGCGGTAACAAATAACTTCTAACTTGCATCAGCAGTAGTAGGTTTTATGAAACAGACATACTCTTTGTTGTTCAATACACGCGATGTAATTTCACAGCGCGATCCTATTCATTCAATACTAGAATAGATAAATCGCAGTTATTGAATCGACTAATACCCACACAGAACTATTATAATGAATCATTTCTTGTTCGAGTCTTAGTTTTGCGAGGGAACAGTCAGGTGTGTTGCCGGTCGATGAAAAATATCAATGACGTATGGTCAAACTAATTTCCTTTTATTCTGACGAAAGCCACTTAAAAGATTCTTATAACCGCGCCGATTACCTTGTGTAAGAATATTGTTTAATTATTTGAAAACTTTCATATATCATGTATAATTATTTCTAAGCAACAAAATTACGCTCTATGTCAGCTAAATTAGGATACGATAGTTATAGGGTGAAACAAATTACGGTAAAGTGCCCAGAGAAACTGAGGACTATCCGAACTACAAACTTAATCTAGAGCTCGTCACTAGCTCAGTAAACTAATTTTGTCTTATGTCCAAATGCCTCAACCTTATCCATTTTATGCAAGGGGAAAAGATCTCTACGAGATTCAGTACAAAGCTAGCTTTATGTTCCTAACTCGAAAATACGTGATTTCTGGATTTGCAGCATGATTGAATAATATTAATTATTTACAGTCGAATATTTGTCGGATAGCCTGTTTTGAAGTGCTGTTGACCTAAAATCCTGGTTCGCCCTGAATCGCCATATATACGATAAATACGAAAGCAATGTCCGTCGCAGATTTCTCTACTAGAATAATTCAATTGCCCAGTTGACGCTGTTCCAATTGCTTTATGAATTTAATAAACACAGTTTTCCCGTCAAAGTCAATACGCACGAATTTACTCTGAGTATTCGCCAATTTAAATAACAGCGCGACTTACCGTTTATTGTCAATTTGAGCTGAATCTACATTAGCTCATTTTTCTGTCAGAGAGGTAATAATTGATAGTGGTTCAAATAAAAAATTGGTCTTAACACAACATCTGTACTTTTACCACAAGGAGACGAGACGTCAAGTTGTTTAGTAAAATAATGTTTATTGGCAGGTGGGTTCAGGCAACGGCACGACGCTCCAGCTGTACGGCCCCTCGATCCAGCCGCGGCACTGTGTGGTCGCGCCCGCGGAAGGCGGCGGCTACTCCGTGACGCCGCTGCACGCCGATGCACACGTATATGTCAACGGACGCAGGATCATGCACTCGCAACGGTTACAAGTGAGTTCTCATCTGCACTGGTTTTCCTTATCTGCTTTTCTCTATATGTGGCCTGGTTTTGTCTTTCCATGCACCTTCGGTACAGGATTGTTAAATGTATCACCTATATTAAAAGAACGTTGACTAGTTTATCGTAAATGGTAGTCACAATAACACGCGCGGAAACTCAAATACTAGTCAGCTTAAGGCTAATTCCGTTGGGATTAGATACCTAACCCAAAGTCTAAAAGGGCAATTTTTCACATGTATTCCTGAGAAATAAGAAGCTTACCTTCCTTATAGTAAATCCTTATTGCCAATCGACACAAACGGTAACCTTAGAAAAGTCTTTTGTTTCTTGAAAACTACTCTATGACGTATATCTTGAACTTTAAAGTTAACGGAAATACCAGTTTTAGTACTGAAAGCATTTCTATTTTGATGAGTTCATTAAAGAGTCACTGTGCACTTAATAATAAAGCGAATGCTTCGGCCGCAGAATGACTGACGTGAATATCGAATCGTGTCGCAATATGGCAACCCTGTAATACAGATATAAAAAATAATCGTAATACAACTTAGCGCCTGATTGTACATGGACGAACATTGTTTGTATTGCCTAATGAAGCCAACCCTCGAGTAAATGAACGTGCCCTCGTTAAATTTTCAGCATTAATATTTATAACATGATTATACACGTTTGTATGGAGCTTACGTAATAATTTATTTAATTAGACTACATCGAAAGCTCTTCCCTGGGAATCGTCGGTATCGCCGTAATTAATCAGAACAAAACAAAATAAATCTTCAGAGAAAATATAATGAAAGCCGACGATATATTGTGAAGTATTTGTTGCAATAATCTAAATCCTGCTTAAAATATTCCAGGAACGTTTCGAACTTGTAGATCAAGGTTACTTCACCCTAGACTTACTAAATAGGTTACGGTCGAGTTTTATTTGTAATACTTTCTACACCAAGACACCCGCGTATTTGCCAGCTACACATTAGTCGTCGAGGATTGTCATTCTTGTGTAAATCAGCTCTGAATAAATAACTTATAAAGTCATCCTAGTGTTAATCAAAACATTTTCATTTGTATCCACGAAGCGTCCTTCACAAACCACTAAAACTAATATTGCTAGATGAGCTGGCAAGAAGTCGTAAAATGTGAGTGTTTGGTCGGGTTTCCAAGAATGTTCATTTAAATGCAAGGCAATAAGACCATTGGAAAGCAGTTGAATTGTTCAATCGTATTATTGAGGTTTGTTAGTAAATGTTTAATTATTTTGTCGCAGCACGGTTGCCTACTAAAATTCGGTCGTGTTTCGACGTTCCGCTTCGTAGACCCGGCACAGGAGAACCTCATTAACAGGAATCTAGCGCAATCACAACATTTCGGCTCCGGCTCAATATACGACAGGTGAGAATATTGCTCGTGTACATTAGCTCGTTTCTTTATGTTGTGTATAGTTGGGCCCTATAGATAAACTAGACTGACCCGAACATTTATTTGGTCAATTAGCATCAAATATCATCGCACAATTGCAACATTTTGTTATTACTTTTAATTTGAACTAATTCTATCAGTGTAAGTAAACACAATCAGTCCCGTCGCTTCTCTAATCACTTTCAAAGCTGTGTATTTTATGTTTTGTTCATCTATCATTGTTTGTTTTCTTTGCATGTTTCTGTCACTGGCTCACGAATATCCGCTTGTGTACGTTATCCTTACGTTAGATCGCCAACTTCGCCTGGCGAGAATAGCGGCGCGATGTCGCCGACGTCGATGACGTCACACCAGCCCGACCCTCTCGACTCCAATGCAAACACGACTAACGACACAGAGTATCAGAGGACTATGAGTCCCGTGTCGCATGACACCTACTACCGGGACGCCAACGACACCATACCGCCATACAACAACAACACTCTCAAACTCGACAACGAGTCGCTTATAATGTCGCAACACCTCAACGACACCAAAGATGATTACGGGAAGGACGACCACACGAGCTCCGTGTACAACGACCAAGATCAGAGTTCCAACGTGAACCGCACGTCCAACTCTGTGCAACAGTACAAAGACAATTATGAAACTACGTTCGACTTGGACGGCAACGTCGAAACAAAGAGTATCTGCAGCGCGAAGAGCGGCGGCTCTGGACACGACAACAGGTATTTAGTTATAATTGATACAAACGTCCTTTTATGGGTTGTGGAACAGTATTAAGGTCTTAACTCTTGTTTATTATTACGTACCCACAGATTAGCGCACCACATTTTAATAAATTATATTTTGCGTTTACTTTGTAATCATAAAGTAAGATAAAGTTGCTTTCATATCCTATAGGATACATAGTTTACACCAATACAATAGAGCTTCCTTAATGCTTAGAGATTATGCTTTGTAATACACAAAATGCTTATTTTTTAGCCGTTTTACCATTCGATTTACTGATGTAAGGTTCTAATCGTTAATTAAAATTAATTTAGTATACGTTACACAGAGGTATATATTAAAATGAGCATCTGTACGCGTGGTGTAGGATGAGTGCGGGCATGAACAGTGGTCGCGGCTGCACGGAGGCGATCCTGCCGGCCGTGCTGGAGTTCCCGGAGGCGGGACAGGCGCAGTTCCTGGCCGCCGTCATCACCCGCCTCGACCCGCACGCCCCCGCCTTCAAACTCGCGCCTGTCTACACTCTCTACCTTTGTGCCAGGTGAGGACATACTAATCATTACACCTAACTTTGTATCACTACTCATTTAAATGTAAAATAATAATTTTAACACTAATATCAAGAACTTTTTTCGGCGTCTACTTCTTACCATCTATTTTCAAACATTTTAATAAAAGTGCGTCACCATGTGTAGACTTTTTGCTATTCTTGGTATTTACTGGCGTGTTACGGTTTATTCAATAATATATGCATACATTAAGTTACGACCCACATAAACTGTAAGTAACGACACGTACATAAAACGGCAGGACGACTTTATAACGTACTCATAATACCCATAAAAGAAAATCTGTTCCTTTACATGGGATATAAAGAAACGGGATGATGAGAAAATCTTGGCTTATTTATTTTCATTATGTAATATTTTACATTCTTTTGGCGATAAAATGGTACAGAGACGTAAATAAACTTAAAACATGCTAAATAGTAACTTAAAAATCAAATAAAAATATATGTCTTCAGAGCAGTAATTATTTTGTATCCTAATACCAGTGGTTTATGTGGTAATCATCAGCGCAATAAAACGCAATCCTCTGTGAAAAACTGCGACTAATAAAAATAAACATAAAATATATTTATACAGACAACCATATTGTGTAAATCCAATTTGTTGGGGTGTGTAATGTATCATGATTACGTGTGTAGGTACCGTGCCTCGACTCATTACCGCCCTGAGCTCACGCCGACCGAGCGCGCTCATAAACTGACGGCCTTCTTACACCATGTCGCCACGCTCATACACGCCACCGTACAGGTAATTACAACTTTTAATAACTACTTAAAATGTCCCCCAGTATTTAAGATCAATGACATCAGGATACATAAGGAGATCGCTCACAGCGATAGCACCGCCATTGTGCGCCTAGCATTATTGTTACCTATTTATACGTTTACTTCAATGATGTATGCAGACTAACGTATTATTCTGTTCATTCAATACCTCGTTGCTCCTACGTTCGCTAAAGTTTTGTCTATTGAATCTCAATGTCTAAACTCTTATTTTGTAGGAGCGTTGTACCGACTCAGCGGCACAAGCTTTCTGGATGACGAATGCGAGTGAACTTCTGCACTTCTTGAAATACGACCGACACATATCATCCTTCTCAACACAAGCGCAAGAAGTACTGTCGCTTACTGTGCAGAATGCTTTCAGGTAATGATACGACATGCCCTATATCTTTGTTGTTTTTAATTATGTATTGTGTAGGTTTATGTCATAAATTTTAACATAAATAATGTGATTAATCAGTCTGTTTATGTTTTGCAAATTTAGACAATAAAATTGAATTTTATTCCGCAGCAACCTCGTGACGTGTTTCCAAGAAGAGCTGTCTCGTGGTCTGGCGACGCTGACGAGCGCGGGCGGGGCGGGCGGCGCGGGCGGCGCGGGCGGCATGCTGGAGGCCAACGAGGCCACCGCGCCCACCCTGCAGGCGCTGGCCGCCGCCATCGTACTGCTGCGTCGCTGCCGCGTCAACGCCGCGCTCACCATACAGCTCTTCTCACACCTCTTCCACTACATCAACGCTGTTTGCTTTAACAAAGTACGTTCATTTATTGTTGTTGTAAATAAAGATGACGTCAACGTTCATTTAACCATAAATCCAAAATTTGTCCACAGTTGGTAACAGAACCTAGCATGATAAATGCACGCTGGGGCGCGGCTCTATCGGCTCGACTCAAAGTTTTGGCCGCTTGGGCGGAACGACAAGGCCTGGAATTAGCGGCGGAATGTCATTTCGCGCGCATGAATCAGGCTGGTATGTAAAGTATTACGTATTGATTTATGATTACCATTAAAAAATATGGAAGTTCGTCTCGATCAAGGACATGGAAGTAATAAACACTATGTGTCGCAGCGCGGCTGATCCAGGGCACGTACCGCACGGCGGAGGAGGTGGTGGCGGCGCTGAAGACGTGCTTCAAGCTGAACTCGGTGCAGGCGCGCGCGCTGCTGGCGCCGCTTGCGCCGGCCGAGCTGGTGGAGGCGGGCGTGCGCCACGTGCGCGCCCACACGGACGAGCTGGTGCGCGCCGACGGGCGCGAGGTGCGCCTGGACGAGCCGGCGTGGCTGGGCGCGGCGCTGCTCATCCCCAGCGACGGGTTCAGCGCCGAGGTGGTGTGCGGCGTGCCGCCGGGGCTGGCGGAGTTCGTGGCGCCGCTGCAGCGCGGCGGGCTGTGCCGCCTGGCGCACCAGCCGCACGCGCTGGGCGCCTGGACCGTGTACCTGGCCGGACACGCGCCGCCCGCGCGCCGCCTCGACCCAAGGCTGCACATCATACAGCTGCACAAGAACTCCAACGGCATGGGGCTCAGCATCGTGGCCGCCAAGGTAACACACACTACGCTCTTCATTCACTACCAAAACTTCACTTTGTTACTCCGATACTACCGTGACATATGTTTGCAGGGTGCTGGGCAGAGCAAGTTGGGTATCTACATAAAGTCGGTAGTACCGGGTGGCGCCGCGGCTGCGGACGGTCGTCTCGCCGCCGGGGACCAACTACTCTCCGTCGACGGGCAGTCACTCGTCGGCATCACGCAGGAGAAGGTAAACACCCTTTTCAAACTAAATTTTTCTTGAGAGGTTTTTGACAAGAACTTTGTTTTCCATTGGGGCAACACCAACAACGTGACAGCTTTGCATTAGTTTTTGACGTATTCGTAGTAAATATAACAAAGTGGTGCGCCTTACCATCGACGATTGCATCACTGCTTACCATCAGGCGGGATTGCAGTCAAGCACTTGTTTATAGGAATGCTTTGGCAATTGGGTAGTTTCCTATAACTTTAAAAATATAAGTAGGTATGCTGTTGGACGAACCATTGTACTTCTTATGTTGCGGTCTCATAGAAAGTATAGTTTATGACCTGCCAAAAAAGTATTCAATTGGAATTGTCGGAAACTATCGCATTGTTACAATGAATTTAGTTTTGCTCGAAAAGCATATTAAAATAATCAAAATCCACAATGTACATGGCGGCTCTGTTAAAATAAAATTTTGTAAAATTCGTGATATTTTCTCGCACAACATAATCGTCCTTCTGAGACCTCTATTAATAATTCTGAGTTGACATGCTCGGTACAAAATGTGACCTGGTCGAACACCAATACGTGTTCGACCGGGTCGTTAAACTGGAAATATAACAGCCGGAACCCGTCGTTGAAGAAGATCAAAACTTGTCAATACCTCTAAGTTCTCAACAATTAGGGTTATCCATAACCATCATAACGATATTTGCGTAAACTTTTAGCTTTAAAAACCAACAAGGTTCAACTGGTGAGGCCACTCATATCGCCATAGATTAGCTCAGTTCATTCTGGACAATTTTTCTCTGACTGAGCCCTTTTGCACTTGTCAATGTGCGTCAAAAAGCAAAATTGCCACATTTGAGCTTCTGAATATCCTAGAGCAATTATTGAAAAGGCTTTTCATGCTCAATGCGTCACTCACTGCATGTTGCGCTATGTAGTCTGGAAGCGTGATTGGGCGATTTTCTTTTTAAGAAGCTTTTTGTGAGGGCAAAATCATCAAATGACTTCTCCCGCCCAGGACCGGGCGGGAGGGAGTGTCAGACTCTTACTGACTAAAAACCCCCCCTGTTCCTTCTCCTGCTCTGGGTCGAGGTCGCGGTGCCTCATTGTGCTTACCCCGTAACCCCGTCTGAACATCAGCCAGGGTCCCGTCTGTGGTGGTCTATTGGCTCTTTGAGGCGCGCGCGGAACGCTACGTGCCGTACGCTCGGGTCTTTTTAAGAGGCTGGAGATGCTTTGTCTGTCAATAGATCACGCCATCGCGAGTTGTTAACTACTCAATTTTGATATATCATGAATATGTACGTGGATATCACTGATCATCATCATCAGCCTATAAGTGCCCACTGCGGAGCAAAGGCCTCTTCTCATACGGAGAAGGTTAGACCATTAATCACAACGCTTGCTCTGTGCGGGATGGCGATTTCAAACTTAGAAATTATAAGTCCAAGTTTCCTTACGATGTTTACCTGCACCGTATGTCAGTGGTGTCTTAATAATCATAGAAAGTACATATAACTCGGAAAAAGTTACATTGGTACTTGCCAGGTTTCTAACCCACAACCTCATGCATGCGAAGCGGGCTCCTTAGCCTCCGAGCTACCACTTCATATATACAGATATCACTGATATGTGATTTCAACAGGATGGTACCACATGTCACACGGCTAGTGGAGCGATCAATTTATCTCACACCAAATTTCCTAATCGCATAATTTCACGAAATTGAGCTGTTAAGTGAAGTGCCATTACTTTTGTTTGGGGCTATGTTAGGGCAGAGTAAACGAGACCAATCGAATCGACAGTCATAAAACTCAGAATCCGTGATGGAATAACGAAATAGACCCGCCATTTCGCCAAAAAACTTTGATGAAATCATTGATATCTAACAGCAAGGTCGCTGTGGACGTTTGCCAGATGTTATTTTTCATTCATAATCGCCAACCCTTTTATCTTTTATGAAAACTAGTATTATAAATTCGAAAGTAACTCTGTCTGACTGTCTTTTCTTCACGCCTAAACGACTGAACCGATTTCTATGAAATTTGGTACAGACATAGTTTGGAACTCGAGAAAAGACATAGGATAGTTTTTATACCAAAAATCTACAGGAAGTCACTATTCCACGCGAACGAAGTCGCAAAAGCTAGTATTATAATAATAATAATTAGGCTCCTCCTTCATCTAAATTCATTGATTTATTTTATTAATTGTTGCCGTTTTACAAAGCAAGGGCAGTGTTCATGATATGTCATCTTGCCTAATAGAAATCTGTCAACTCGCAAGTAGTAAAAGCCATCGAGGAGAAGATCTAATGTTTCCCCTTGCTACCTTACCAAAATACAGTGCTTCAATAGATTCACAATCTATTCTTTATATTCTATTTTAATTTTTAGGCTGCCGAATACCTAGTGCGCACCGGGCCCACAGTAACGTTGGAGGTGGCGAAGCAGGGAGCCATGCTACACGGCCTCGCCACGCTACTCCACCAGCCTGCCTACAATCAGCGACAAGGTATGTTGGAAATGACAGTATTTATGGAAAAATACTAATATCAAACAATGAAAACATGCGCAGATTATAATGGTGAATTTTACTTATCCAATTTCTGGAATATTGGGTGTCATATTTTTGAAGGGTTCTGTTGCGCATTGTGTGCGCATTTTGCGCAGTCTGCGCTCGGATTGAATAGCAATCTGTTATACTTTATATAATTGATAATAAATACTGATAAGAACGAGACGATTTTTTGGCTTTGCGAGATGATAATTTATAAACTCGTTTCATTGTAATAAATCTTGATAATATTATTTATTTCGATTGCTTAGAAACAGGAATTTCATGGACTGAAGGTAGTCGTTAATCGTAAATCACGATTGGTAAGAATATTTGTATTAGATTGGAAGAATATTTTGTCGTTATCATCATCATCATTGATGGTGGCAATTATTGGTGATCTCGTTTGGGGCGATGTGTAGGGTTTTGGTTGATACGGCGACGTAGGCAATGTGGGTAGTAACGTGTGTGTGTGTGCGTGTGCGGCAGCGGAGGAGGTGGTGTACGAGCACGCGCTGCGCCGCAACTCGGGCACGTTCACCAACCCGCACCCTGCGCTGCTGCGCCCCGCCTCGCCGCGCACCGAGCTCGCCACCGCAGGCAATGTCTCCCTCTACTGCACCATACCACTCCCCCGCACCCTGCGCTGCTGCGCCCCGCCTCGCCGCGCACCGAGCTCGCCACCGCAGGCAATGTCTCCCTCTACTGCACCATACCACTCCCCCGCACCCTGCGCTGCTGCGCCCCGCCTCGCCGCGCACCGAGCTCGCCACCGCAGGCAATGTCTCCCTCTACTGCACCATACCACTCCCCCGCACCCTGCGCTGCTGCGCCCCGCCTCGCCGCGCACCGAGCTCGCCACCGCAGGCAATGTCTCCCTCTACTGCACCATACCACTCCCCCGCACCCTGCGCTGCTGCGCCCCGCCTCGCCGCGCACCGAGCTCGCCACCGCAGGCAATGTCTCCCTCTACTGCACCATACCACTCCCCCGCACCCTGCGCTGCTGCGCCCCGCCTCGCCGCGCACCGAGCTCGCCACCGCAGGCAATGTCTCCCTCTACTGCACCATACCACTCCCCCGCACCCTGCGCTGCTGCGCCCCGCCTCGCCGCGCACCGAGCTCGCCACCGCAGGCAATGTCTCCCTCTACTGCACCATACCACTCCCCCGCACCCTGCGCTGCTGCGCCCCGCCTCGCCGCGCACCGAGCTCGCCACCGCAGGCAATGTCTCCCTCTACTGCACCATACCACTCCCCCGCACCCTGCGCTGCTGCGCCCCGCCTCGCCGCGCACCGAGCTCGCCACCGCAGGCAATGTCTCCCTCTACTGCACCATACCACTCCCCCGCACCCTGCGCTGCTGCGCCCCGCCTCGCCGCGCACCGAGCTCGCCACCGCAGGCAATGTCTCCCTCTACTGCACCATACCACTCCCCCGCACCCTGCGCTGCTGCGCCCCGCCTCGCCGCGCACCGAGCTCGCCACCGCAGGCAATGTCTCCCTCTACTGCACCATACCACTCCCCCGCACCCTGCGCTGCTGCGCCCCGCCTCGCCGCGCACCGAGCTCGCCACCGCAGGCAATGTCTCCCTCTACTGCACCATACCACTCCCCCGCACCCTGCGCTGCTGCGCCCCGCCTCGCCGCGCACCGAGCTCGCCACCGCAGGCAATGTCTCCCTCTACTGCACCATACCACTCCCCCGCACCCTGCGCTGCTGCGCCCCGCCTCGCCGCGCACCGAGCTCGCCACCGCAGGCAATGTCTCCCTCTACTGCACCATACCACTCCCCCGCACCCTGCGCTGCTGCGCCCCGCCTCGCCGCGCACCGAGCTCGCCACCGCAGGCAATGTCTCCCTCTACTGCACCATACCACTCCCCCGCACCCTGCGCTGCTGCGCCCCGCCTCGCCGCGCACCGAGCTCGCCACCGCAGGCAATGTCTCCCTCTACTGCACCATACCACTCCCCCGCACCCTGCGCTGCTGCGCCCCGCCTCGCCGCGCACCGAGCTCGCCACCGCAGGCAATGTCTCCCTCTACTGCACCATACCACTCCCCCGCACCCTGCGCTGCTGCGCCCCGCCTCGCCGCGCACCGAGCTCGCCACCGCAGGCAATGTCTCCCTCTACTGCACCATACCACTCCCCCGCACCCCGCGCTGCTGCGCCCCGCCTCGCCGCGCACCGAGCTCGCCACCGCAGGCAATGTCTCCCTCTACTGCACCATACCACTCCCCCGCACCCCGCGCTGCTGCGCCCCGCCTCGCCGCGCACCGAGCTCGCCACCGCAGGCAATGTCTCCCTCTACTGCACCATACCACTCCCCCGCACCCTGCGCTGCTGCGCCCCGCCTCGCCGCGCACCGAGCTCGCCACCGCAGGCAATGTCTCCCTCTACTGCACCATACCACTCCCCCGCACCCTGCGCTGCTGCGCCCCGCCTCGCCGCGCACCGAGCTCGCCACCGCAGGCAATGTCTCCCTCTACTGCACCATACCACTCCCCCGCACCCTGCGCTGCTGCGCCCCGCCTCGCCGCGCACCGAGCTCGCCACCGCAGGCAATGTCTCCCTCTACTGCACCATACCACTCCCCCGCACCCTGCGCTGCTGCGCCCCGCCTCGCCGCGCACCGAGCTCGCCACCGCAGGCAATGTCTCCCTCTACTGCACCATACCACTCCCCCGCACCCTGCGCTGCTGCGCCCCGCCTCGCCGCGCACCGAGCTCGCCACCGCAGGCAATGTCTCCCTCTACTGCACCATACCACTCCCCCGCACCCTGCGCTGCTGCGCCCCGCCTCGCCGCGCACCGAGCTCGCCACCGCAGGCAATGTCTCCCTCTACTGCACCATACCACTCCCCCGCACCCTGCGCTGCTGCGCCCCGCCTCGCCGCGCACCGAGCTCGCCACCGCAGGCAATGTCTCCCTCTACTGCACCATACCACTCCCCCGCACCCTGCGCTGCTGCGCCCCGCCTCGCCGCGCACCGAGCTCGCCACCGCAGGCAATGTCTCCCTCTACTGCACCATACCACTCCCCCGCACCCTGCGCTGCTGCGCCCCGCCTCGCCGCGCACCGAGCTCGCCACCGCAGGCAATGTCTCCCTCTACTGCACCATACCACTCCCCCGCACCCTGCGCTGCTGCGCCCCGCCTCGCCGCGCACCGAGCTCGCCACCGCAGGCAATGTCTCCCTCTACTGCACCATACCACTCCCCCGCACCCTGCGCTGCTGCGCCCCGCCTCGCCGCGCACCGAGCTCGCCACCGCAGGCAATGTCTCCCTCTACTGCACCATACCACTCCCCCGCACCCTGCGCTGCTGCGCCCCGCCTCGCCGCGCACCGAGCTCGCCACCGCAGGCAATGTCTCCCTCTACTGCACCATACCACTCCCCCGCACCCTGCGCTGCTGCGCCCCGCCTCGCCGCGCACCGAGCTCGCCACCGCAGGCAATGTCTCCCTCTACTGCACCATACCACTCCCCCGCACCCTGCGCTGCTGCGCCCCGCCTCGCCGCGCACCGAGCTCGCCACCGCAGGCAATGTCTCCCTCTACTGCACCATACCACTCCCCCGCACCCTGCGCTGCTGCGCCCCGCCTCGCCGCGCACCGAGCTCGCCACCGCAGGCAATGTCTCCCTCTACTGCACCATACCACTCCCCCGCACCCTGCGCTGCTGCGCCCCGCCTCGCCGCGCACCGAGCTCGCCACCGCAGGCAATGTCTCCCTCTACTGCACCATACCACTCCCCCGCACCCTGCGCTGCTGCGCCCCGCCTCGCCGCGCACCGAGCTCGCCACCGCAGGCAATGTCTCCCTCTACTGCACCATACCACTCCCCCGCACCCTGCGCTGCTGCGCCCCGCCTCGCCGCGCACCGAGCTCGCCACCGCAGGCAATGTCTCCCTCTACTGCACCATACCACTCCCCCGCACCCTGCGCTGCTGCGCCCCGCCTCGCCGCGCACCGAGCTCGCCACCGCAGGCAATGTCTCCCTCTACTGCACCATACCACTCCCCCGCACCCCGCGCTGCTGCGCCCCGCCTCGCCGCGCACCGAGCTCGCCACCGCAGGCAATGTCTCCCTCTACTGCACCATACCACTCCCCCGCACCCTGCGCTGCTGCGCCCCGCCTCGCCGCGCACCGAGCTCGCCACCGCAGGCAATGTCTCCCTCTACTGCACCATACCACTCCCCCGCACCCTGCGCTGCTGCGCCCCGCCTCGCCGCGCACCGAGCTCGCCACCGCAGGCAATGTCTCCCTCTACTGCACCATACCACTCCCCCGCACCCTGCGCTGCTGCGCCCCGCCTCGCCGCGCACCGAGCTCGCCACCGCAGGCAATGTCTCCCTCTACTGCACCATACCACTCCCCCGCACCCTGCGCTGCTGCGCCCCGCCTCGCCGCGCACCGAGCTCGCCACCGCAGGCAATGTCTCCCTCTACTGCACCATACCACTCCCCCGCACCCTGCGCTGCTGCGCCCCGCCTCGCCGCGCACCGAGCTCGCCACCGCAGGCAATGTCTCCCTCTACTGCACCATACCACTCCCCCGCACCCTGCGCTGCTGCGCCCCGCCTCGCCGCGCACCGAGCTCGCCACCGCAGGCAATGTCTCCCTCTACTGCACCATACCACTCCCCCGCACCCTGCGCTGCTGCGCCCCGCCTCGCCGCGCACCGAGCTCGCCACCGCAGGCAATGTCTCCCTCTACTGCACCATACCACTCCCCCGCACCCTGCGCTGCTGCGCCCCGCCTCGCCGCGCACCGAGCTCGCCACCGCAGGCAATGTCTCCCTCTACTGCACCATACCACTCCCCCGCACCCTGCGCTGCTGCGCCCCGCCTCGCCGCGCACCGAGCTCGCCACCGCAGGCAATGTCTCCCTCTACTGCACCATACCACTCCCCCGCACCCTGCGCTGCTGCGCCCCGCCTCGCCGCGCACCGAGCTCGCCACCGCAGGCAATGTCTCCCTCTACTGCACCATACCACTCCCCCGCACCCTGCGCTGCTGCGCCCCGCCTCGCCGCGCACCGAGCTCGCCACCGCAGGCAATGTCTCCCTCTACTGCACCATACCACTCCCCCGCACCCTGCGCTGCTGCGCCCCGCCTCGCCGCGCACCGAGCTCGCCACCGCAGGCAATGTCTCCCTCTACTGCACCATACCACTCCCCCGCACCTTGCGCTGCTGCGCCCCGCCTCGCCGCGCACCGAGCTCGCCACCGCAGGCAATGTCTCCCTCTACTGCACCATACCACTCCCCCGCACCCTGCGCTGCTGCGCCCCGCCTCGCCGCGCACCGAGCTCGCCACCGCAGGCAATGTCTCCCTCTACTGCACCATACCACTCCCCCGCACCCCGCGCTGCTGCGCCCCGCCTCGCCGCGTACCGAGCTCGCCACCGCAGGCAATGTCTCCCTCTACTGCACCATACCACTCCCCCGCACCCCGCGCTGCTGCGCCCCGCCTCGCCGCGCACCGAGCTCGCCACCGCAGGCAATGTCTCCCTCTACTGCACCATACCACTCCCCCGCACCCTGCGCTGCTGCGCCCCGCCTCGCCGCGCACCGAGCTCGCCACCGCAGGCAATGTCTCCCTCTACTGCACCATACCACTCCCCCGCACCCTGCGCTGCTGCGCCCCGCCTCGCCGCGCACCGAGCTCGCCACCGCAGGCAATGTCTCCCTCTACTGAACCATACCGATCCCCATCCACACAGATACACACCCGATCACTTACTGTTGTGGCCTGTTGCAATGCTTTCTGTACTCCGCTGGTTGTCCGACATCTTATTTTTACAGCTTTTTCTTTTCTGCAATCCAATTTTAGTTACATTATTTTGCAGTTTTTAATCGTTGCGGACATTTCGCTGAATATTCTTTGCAGGTATCTTTTGAGTTCTTTTTGTTCCTTTTTTGTTTAGCGCTTCGGTAGCATTGTCTAAAATGTTGGATTGATTTTCATGGAAGTCTCTATTACAGGATATGGTCGTCGGCCTTGCCACAATCGATGTCATTTCTTAAGAGATGAATCTACAGAATCTAGTACGGATGAAAGCGAGGATTGGCAACCTCAGTATCACGGTTCCATTCCTAGATTGATAGTAACGCTAGACAGAGAAAATAACCAGTTGCAGGAAGACTTGTCACCGGACACACCGGGCTGTCCCATCGAACTGAGAAGCAATGCTCCTCCACCGCGCCCTATTCCCGTGTTTACGTTCACGTGCGAGGACTTTGATGAACAACAGACAAGTAGTAACGCCACGAGTCAGCCTGAAGAATGTGAATCGCAACCAGTTCGGTGCGAGTCTCCCTCGGATGAACCACCTCCAATACCTGAGCCTCCTGCCAATTACGATCAGTCAAGTGATAACGGAGATTCCATTTGTTTACCGCCTCAGATGGAACCTATAGACACAAAGCTAACTTTAGATCTGTTCAATTCTCGCGGCAGAGAAAATGAGTTCTACAGGCAACGTTGTACTGGCATCGATGAATGTGTGAGTGCTTGTGAATGTTGTCGCACGCCTCAACCTGAGACACAACAGATTCCTTACATCGATGAACCAAACTCGGAACCACTCATATTTGAAAATGAAGGTCCTCCAAACAAAGTCGCTACGCCAAAAATACGACGAATATTACCTTCGTTGTCTCTCGACCAACCTGACTCAGATCAAAAACCTGAAACTGCGGACGCAGTTTGTCAGACGCCCTCATCGCCAATGGATCGTGAAGTGACTCCCAAAAGAAAAATCGAGCTTAATTTGGATATAAAGAAAGACTACGATCAAATAGAAAATATACAGTGCAGGCTGAAAAGAGCGCTGTTTAGTATGTCGACATCTCTTTCAGGCAAATCTGAAGATACTGAAATTCCGTCCACTTACTCAACGTCTGATTCTTTTGATGAGACAAATAATGAATTAAAATATGATGTCGGCACTATTAAAGCTCAAACTCCTGTAGATAACAACCCTGGTGCTAAACAAATATTAGATAGTGTAGACCGAAAGTCGTGGAAATCTCCTGATGAGTACAGGCCTGTCTTCGGTAAAGTTAAAGAATTAACGAAACATTTTAACAATATCAATTTAAAGTATTGTGTTAAAAATTACAAACGAAATTGTCAATCGAGTCCCAATCTTAGCGTTCGTGACGATAAGACTCCTAAAGTTATTGAGAACCTCCCCACTAGTGCCAGTTTAGCTGATATACAATACGAATGCACTAAAACCGATACTAGCGACACCAAGTGTGAGAAATTCTCTGACAACGAAGTGAAAAGCATCCTCATCCAATTAGAAGACTGGTCCAAATACGGGTCACGCGGCAGCGAGGACACGTTAGCACATGGCAATGAGTTCGAAATACCCAATTTGCCATCTGAAGAACACACGGAAAACACTGCCAATGGATATGTATTCTCAGAGATAATTGACAAAAAACCAAAACGAATTACTTTAGATAATATCAAGTTGAAGTCAAATCAGTCAAGTATAAATTCTGATCAAGCTGAACATAGTAAAGAATCGTTGAACGTGAGCGGGAGCTTGGACAAAGAATGTTCGGATCGCTTGCCGCGAGTGGTGGCGATGCTCCGGCCGGGCGAGGCAGTGGTGGGCTCCTGTCCCGACCTCTCCGCGCGCACGTGTAAGGCTCCCACACACGCATGACGATAGGTGTGTTATAGCTGGACGCACACATTTCTGTTCCTTACTAGACATTTTGTTTTTTTGTAACTGTGCACTTAAACTGCAAATCTTTTACTTTATTTACTGAATGGCGAACACGAATGTGTAAACTATTCATATGAAATTCAGCAACGTTTTGGTCTGATTTCATGTGAATAATAAATAAAGCTTCGTTTGTATATCTGATAGGCTGATTCCAGAATGGAGGACGTCTTCTGAACAAAGCGTACAGTATATCTAATGCATGGGTTCTCTGTTAATATTGTTTTTTTGTTTGTATGTTATCTCGAACTTTATTTCGTTAACTTTTGATTTTGGCACTCGTTTCTTTGTCGATTCTATAGGAATTTGTATGTTTTATTATGTTGTAGTTTTATAATTTGCGTAGCGTTACCGATGTTGTGTGTAAATGTATGCGTGAGGAGTGTGTCGGTTGTAGCGAGCGGGCCGGGCGCGGGCGGCGCGGTGCGGCGCGCGTCGGAGCGCGACCTGCCGGCGCGGCTGGCGGCCGAGGCGGGCGTCAAGTCCAGCAAGAGCACGCCCGCGCTGCATCACGTCGCCTCGCCGCCCACACACCACCACACGCCGCCCAGGTAACTATGCACTATACACATTCTTACATTACCTACTACTTACTTACCCATCGTCGTGCCATGTTAAATACCAACTAATTCAATCCAATCAACATTTTTTCTTACCTAAATATTAAAAAGCAGTCTTCAACAATTGTACTGTCATGTGTCATGGTATCCCAGGGGCGCTGCTTTCTCGCGCGTGAGCGGTTTCGAAACCTGACAAGCACTTTCTAAGTTTATTTAGACAACACTGACAAATCATGAGAAACCGGGACTTGAGTAATTTAAAATGGCCAATTGGAGTAAGAGAGTTGTTTGATGCACAAACGATAATGTTGCATCATATATCATTCTTATTTCTCTTAAGTTAGCTAGAACAAGAGAAAATATGTGTAGTGTATAAGACGAGTGAGAGTAACACTTTGTGTTTGCGCGTAGCGTGTCGGTGAGCGGGGCGGCGACGGGCGCGGGCGGGGCGGCGTGGCCCAGCAAGTCGCGGTCGAGCCACAACCTGGCGGCGCCCGCGCAGCATGACGCCTTCTACCAGAACCTCTCCACCGTGCACTCGCAACAACATGCCTTACAGGACAGGTATGATTTTACCTAATTTCACAATATTTTACTCATATAATCCACATAACTACTTGTTCCATATGAAATAAGGGAATTATTGTATTCTGAAAAAAGACTGCCCCTCTAGGATTTTCTCGTGTGTCGTGGTTCACACACACATCAAACCAGACCCGCAACAACAATTTGTGGATCACACAAAGAGTTGCGCGGCAACTAGTTGCCCAATCATCGCGCCAACCGTGCAGTCAAATATTTATTATAATTTTGTTTTGACCAGAAATTTGTTTGATTTCAGATGGTCTTCGCTCCGCAGTTCTACTGGTAGCAATAGACCGCAGTCTGCTCATTTTGCAGCTGGCGGACAAACTGAAGCGCCAGACTCACCACTACATCACCAGGTTTGCAAATTTCGATTTTACCATACTACTTATAGTTAGTATGAATTTTTTTAATCAATAAGGGCTACTTGTTGCCATCTCACTAGCTTACCACCAATGTGTAATTCCAGACTATCTTTGTGTCAAACATCAAAATCAATACCCAATATATCTATCCATGCTTCAAACTTTCTCTCTTATAATATTAGTAAGATAATAGAGTGACAAACGACAATATTGGTGACGTGTGTATGTTGCAGCAGGCGAGCGCGTCGAGCGCGGCGAGCGCGGCCCGCGCGGCCAAGCTGGCGGAGATGTCGGACGAGGTGGCGCGCAGGCACGCCTACCATAACCACAACCACCACACCCCGCCCTCGCACCATCATCTCATCGGTAATGTCCCACACTCTTCGACCTTTATGCAATAGCGAGCGCGGCCCGCGCGGCCAAGCTGGCGGAGATGTCGGACGAGGTGGCGCGCAGGCACGCCTACCATAACCACAACCACCACACCCCGCCCTCGCACCATCATCTCATCGGTAATGTCCCACACTCTTCGATCTTTATGCAATAGCGAGCGCGGCCCGCGCGGCCAAGCTGGCGGAGATGTCGGACGAGGTGGCGCGCAGGCACGCCTACCATAACCACAACCACCACACCCCGCCCTCGCACCATCATCTCATCGGTAATGTCCCACACTCTTCGATCTTTATGCAATAGCGAGCGCGGCCCGCGCGGCCAAGCTGGCGGAGATGTCGGACGAGGTGGCGCGCAGGCACGCCTACCATAACCACAACCACCACACCCCGCCCTCGCACCATCATCTCATCGGTAATGTCCCACACTCTTCGATCTTTATGCAATAGCGAGCGCGGCCCGCGCGGCCAAGCTGGCGGAGATGTCGGACGAGGTGGCGCGCAGGCACGCCTACCATAACCACAACCACCACACCCCGCCCTCGCACCATCATCTCATCGGTAATGTCCCACACTCTTCGATCTTTATGCAATAGCGAGCGCGGCCCGCGCGGCCAAGCTGGCGGAGATGTCGGACGAGGTGGCGCGCAGGCACGCCTACCATAACCACAACCACCACACCCCGCCCTCGCACCATCATCTCATCGGTAATGTCCCACACTCTTCGATCTTTATGCAATAGCGAGCGCGGCCCGCGCGGCCAAGCTGGCGGAGATGTCGGACGAGGTGGCGCGCAGGCACGCCTACCATAACCACAACCACCACACCCCGCCCTCGCACCATCATCTCATCGGTAATGTCCCACACTCTTCGATCTTTATGCAATAGCGAGCGCGGCCCGCGCGGCCAAGCTGGCGGAGATGTCGGACGAGGTGGCGCGCAGGCACGCCTACCATAACCACAACCACCACACCCCGCCCTCGCACCATCATCTCATCGGTAATGTCCCACACTCTTCGATCTTTATGCAATAGCGAGCGCGGCCCGCGCGGCCAAGCTGGCGGAGATGTCGGACGAGGTGGCGCGCAGGCACGCCTACCATAACCACAACCACCACACCCCGCCCTCGCACCATCATCTCATCGGTAATGTCCCACACTCTTCGATCTTTATGCAATAGCGAGCGCGGCCCGCGCGGCCAAGCTGGCGGAGATGTCGGACGAGGTGGCGCGCAGGCACGCCTACCATAACCACAACCACCACACCCCGCCCTCGCACCATCATCTCATCGGTAATGTCCCACACTCTTCGATCTTTATGCAATAGCGAGCGCGGCCCGCGCGGCCAAGCTGGCGGAGATGTCGGACGAGGTGGCGCGCAGGCACGCCTACCATAACCACAACCACCACACCCCGCCCTCGCACCATCATCTCATCGGTAATGTCCCACACTCTTCGATCTTTATGCAATAGCGAGCGCGGCCCGCGCGGCCAAGCTGGCGGAGATGTCGGACGAGGTGGCGCGCAGGCACGCCTACCATAACCACAACCACCACACCCCGCCCTCGCACCATCATCTCATCGGTAATGTCCCACACTCTTCGATCTTTATGCAATAGCGAGCGCGGCCCGCGCGGCCAAGCTGGCGGAGATGTCGGACGAGGTGGCGCGCAGGCACGCCTACCATAACCACAACCACCACACCCCGCCCTCGCACCATCATCTCATCGGTAATGTCCCACACTCTTCGATCTTTATGCAATAGCGAGCGCGGCCCGCGCGGCCAAGCTGGCGGAGATGTCGGACGAGGTGGCGCGCAGGCACGCCTACCATAACCACAACCACCACACCCCGCCCTCGCACCATCATCTCATCGGTAATGTCCCACACTCTTCGATCTTTATGCAATAGCGAGCGCGGCCCGCGCGGCCAAGCTGGCGGAGATGTCGGACGAGGTGGCGCGCAGGCACGCCTACCATAACCACAACCACCACACCCCGCCCTCGCACCATCATCTCATCGGTAATGTCCCACACTCTTCGATCTTTATGCAATAGCGAGCGCGGCCCGCGCGGCCAAGCTGGCGGAGATGTCGGACGAGGTGGCGCGCAGGCACGCCTACCATAACCACAACCACCACACCCCGCCCTCGCACCATCATCTCATCGGTAATGTCCCACACTCTTCGATCTTTATGCAATAGCGAGCGCGGCCCGCGCGGCCAAGCTGGCGGAGATGTCGGACGAGGTGGCGCGCAGGCACGCCTACCATAACCACAACCACCACACCCCGCCCTCGCACCATCATCTCATCGGTAATGTCCCACACTCTTCGATCTTTATGCAATAGCGAGCGCGGCCCGCGCGGCCAAGCTGGCGGAGATGTCGGACGAGGTGGCGCGCAGGCACGCCTACCATAACCACAACCACCACACCCCGCCCTCGCACCATCATCTCATCGGTAATGTCCCACACTCTTCGATCTTTATGCAATAGCGAGCGCGGCCCGCGCGGCCAAGCTGGCGGAGATGTCGGACGAGGTGGCGCGCAGGCACGCCTACCATAACCACAACCACCACACCCCGCCCTCGCACCATCATCTCATCGGTAATGTCCCACACTCTTCGATCTTTATGCTATATTAGCATTCTACACAAGTTCAATTTTTTTTTAAATTTTGTCTACGTACAATCCCTGGACTACTACGAATTATTCAAGACCAAAATTAGCCAAATCGGCAAAGGCATTGTTGAGTTATAACATTACAACGAAATGTGGCATTGATTTTTATATATATAGATAATTCGATCAAGCATTCTAATCACCTGAGGGCAAGTAATCAGCACCGCTAGTACTCACCCGCAACACCAAATTTGACCGTCTTTGTCTGCATTTGGTGAGCGAAGAAATGGGCCTCCCAATGTAGTCAATCATACGGGGAAAACACAGTGTTTCCCACCGATTTTTCACCTTTGAGATTGATTTATCAGTCCATAATACATATTGTTATAATTCCAGGTCAAGGCCAGCTCCAGATGGCAACGGGTCCATATGGGCCGCTCCCCCAGCACCCCCAGCAGCCCCCGCAGACGGGGCAGCTGGCGCAGTCCCCGGCCATGCTGCACGTACACCCGCAGAGCCCGCACCAGATATACCACAACCAACACCAACCGCCACAGAGGTCATCATACAAACAACATGCTTCTATTTCTATTAAAAAGAGAATAATAAACAAGTTTTACTTCCACACTATTTCATAGATTTGATAGATTCATATGAATGAGAATGAGCAAGAAGTTTAATGGATACTTTTTTCTTTCATTTTACACTTACATAGTTTAATTTTAGTCAATGTTTACAGGTACGAATGGATGCCTCCTGGCCCGCCATCGCCACAAAGATCACAACCACCCGTCGCTCCCAAACCTCAGGTAATAATTTAATTGTAAATAAAGAACATTGCTCACCATCCATGCATAGCTCGCCTACGATCCAACGGGGAGGTGTATTTCCTTTTTGGGTGTTAAGTAATATCTATATTCGATTGAACCTAATTTACACATTACAAACATTGGACACTTGTGAGAATTTGATTATGTAATATATTATTTTTGTAAATATGTATTATGAAAATTATTAAAATAACTAAGAATTTTAGGAAATTTTTCATGTGTTGGTTTCATGCATTGGTTCATAGATAATTTTTGTCAATGTCCTTTAGAACGTATGCTACTTTGTTTGTGAATAGATCTTGTCATTTTATTTTGCTCAATGGCATATTCTGTAATAGGGTGCTCGACGGCCGGACTTGGATATGGAAGAACAAATGTACCCGCATTCCCAGGGACATCCGCAGGCACATCCGCAGTCACACCCGCAGTCACATCCGCAGTCTCACCCGCAGTCTCACCCGCAGTCTCACGCCCAGTCATATCCACAGCCGCAACAGCCACCGTCTTCTACTGTGCAACCCGAAGACGGTACGTTTCGCTTTCAATCATCAAATCTGTAATAGGAATGTATTGTATCATTGCAGTAATATAATTATGTGTTGTTATGATCCAGAGCGCTACGTGGCGAGCGCGCTGGAGCCGCCCGCGGTATCGGTGTACCCGGCCGGGGGCGCGGGGGGCGCGGGCGGGGGCGCCGGGGGCGCGGCGGGGCGCGCGCCGCACAACCCGTGGCAGCGCGAGGAGCGCGAGCGACTGCACGAGGCGCGCCGCGCCGCCGCGCGGGCCCGCAGGTACCACGCTACAACTTACTTACATATTTCATCTAATACACGTTATCGATATTCCCAGAATCGTTTTAATAACATTTTTGTACTATAGTCAGAATTTTAATTCGATTCCTGATTTGACATGACCTACTGTCATTTTGTGAAATAATGATACCACATATAACAGTGTAGTGATGAACACAAAAATCGATAAACAATCAGTGAATCAGTTTCAGGAAGGCATTCAAAAAATTACGGCTACCGAATGGTCTAAATGCGTATCCCATGTTATCAAAGAGGAAAATATGAATAAGCCAGATATGTTAAGTGACAATAAAAATCACAAACACAATTCATAATAAATGTTACAGAAAGTAACAGCGATAGCGATTGCGATGACGGCGACAATTTATAAAATTTCTGTTTTATTTGTCATGTTCCTTCATGATCACATTTTTTATTAATTTCACACACAATTACAAAAGAAAAGTCTCAGATCGTTAATTAATTGTCAAAACTAAATTATCGGTTCAGAAATATTTTATTTCCTGACAAACTTAGTTTACAAGAGTAAATTTATAAACGAAGGGAATCGATTCTGAAATATTCGATTTCCATATCGAATAATTTCGCAACGTCACTATTTTCTACGTGTCATAACGTTGCAACACTGAAATTGTCAAATCTGGAATGGAATTAAAATTCTGAGTATAGTGATTAAAATCGTTTTATCTGTCACAAAGAATAAAATGTTAAAAGGAATCGAACATAGTTTACAGTTACTAATTACTTATATTTCGTATTTGTAGAGACGCAACAATTGCCCAGCTAATATCATTAGGAGCGGCGCGAACACCCGTACAGAACCAACAACTGCGTGCGCTTCAGTTAGAACGAGACTTCGAACTGCGAGCTACGCAGCATGACCAGGTAAACACTTAAATTTAATTATCATAAATATTGACTAAGTGTTTTAACCTACCCTATGAACGACTACAATCATATGTAAAAAATATTAGTTATACAATGTGTAATATAACTAATATACCTAAATGAAAATATTTTTCAACACACTTCCTCAATAAGTGGCTCTAGCCTAACCAAATTGCCTTTTTCGTTACTACTTTAGAGATATGAGGAACAGGGTGGAAAGTTCCTCATTCTCCATTGAAAAGGGAGGATCCTCCGACTTGGCGAGGTGTTCGTGCCTGGTGGGCTACTGCCCGATTGTTGTTGTCGGGATTTTTGTATATGTTCTTATTGCGATGAGAACTCTTATAGCGCGATGTAGACTCTTGCACGTGATTGGTGCTGTTGTTATTGTTGTGCGATAGATGTCGCTACACTATTATTCACAAGTGAGTAAAAGAGATTTTTTAAATAATTGGTTGAGTTACACTTACACTTGCTCTAAAATACTATCTGTGGAAGGCCCAAAAAAAGAAACATAATTTTTAGTTTACGCGCATGGGAATACTGATTAATATTTCCCGCCATTACGAAACATTTTTAACAACTCGTCTGGTATACCTGGCACGGTCGTGCGATTATTTTAATTTTATCTTGTATAGTTTTTTTTTTAATTGATTGTGCTACTTATTAGGAGGAAAGTAACGCTGCAGAAGGCGCAGAAGATTCAGAAGAGATGGTAGACGACACGCCATCGTCTCCTTTGGCGGCGTCTCCCGCCCCGCCTCCTCACACGCTCACACAGCCCCCCAACCCGCCAAAATCCATTCTCAAGACCAACACACGTACTGAGATCACTAACGGATATACTACCGAACAGGTAAAACTATTGAAGATACTGTTTCAACATATTTTCGCATTAAAAAACTCGAATTATAAAAGCGTGTTCTTTACTCTGAAAACGTTTCTGTAGATACTAATATCACTTACGCATTAATACTGCATTATCACTTAAAAATAATAATATCGGTGTACACTAAACTTATTGCCAATTTACGTGAGAGATGACGTGTTATGTTAGCAGGTGAACTACGAAGAGAGCCGGGTGTCGGAGGTGACGGCAGGTATGGGCGCGCTGGGCGTGGGCGCGGCCAGCCCTGCAGGCGGGGCGGCGCCCCCGCCGCCGGCGCGCGGCTCCTCCTTCGCCGTCATGGCCGAGCGCGCGCGGACACTCTCGCCCGCGCGACACGACGCGCCGCACGCACTGCCGCCGCAGTAAGCACTCACACATCATGTGCCACTCTATCACTTCACACACGGCGAAACACAACGCCGTGGTGTTTCACGCCAGTTTTATTTGAGGCCGTAGTATCACTCCGGTAGAACCACAGAACAGAAAATTAAGTAGAAGTGCCCCTACACTCTTTCAATAGGAAAACCAGTGTCGCGAAAATCACACATTCGCAAATCAAATTGTCCATTACACACATAAAAAACAGCTATATAATTGGGTAAAAAGTTGAAACGCAACATTAGCAAATCATCTTCTAAATGTTGTTTAAAATTGAGTCTTATAACAATGAGCAAAAGTTATTATCATTTCACATGTCACAATCAATAAAGCCGTCTAGCGTGTAAAAAGCTTAAATAAAACAATTTACAAACAGGTTTAGCCACTCACTGCTAGATGGCGCTGTAACAAATTCATTCTATTCAAAATGCTAATTTCTTTGAAATAGATGTCATATTTGTATGCACTGGTACCAATAGACATTATTATTTTGCTACTCAGATAGGGCAGGGTATCCCAATATATCGATGTTATTGTTTTCGTGTGAGCAATATAATTTATCGACACGATATACCTACAAATGATCAGTAATGAAAAAGGTTCTAATAGAAAAAAAGAAAAATATTAACATTTTTTGAAAATTTAATGTTTTTTGGACATTGTCAAGTTATAGATTTCGATTTTAACATAATAAAAGCACTACGCGCTCTTACAAGTTTCATCTCCTTTCCAACAAAAATAGAATTATTAAAATCGGTTCATAAATAATGGAGACGAACGAACAAAAACAAACATGTACGGTCGAATTGAGAGTCACTCTCCTTTTTGGAACTCTGTTAAAAATCATGTACAACATTATAAAATAAAAATGGTGATGAACCACCCGCACCTACCACAGAGGGATGCACGCTGTGTGTGGTTAAAACGTTGATGTGTCTATGCAGTCTTAGTTAAACATTTATGAATTATACACAAAAATTGACAAAAATCAATTTTCTGAACGATGATGACGAAAAATTATCGATACGAACCTGTTTTACGAATGTGTCCCATCCCTAAATGAGTAGCGTCGAAACTACTGGAATGTATTGTATATAACGTCACATAACGAACAAGTAGATTTAAACTTAATTGTGATGACAATAAGGCCCTTTATAGTTTGCATTGAAGTAATGAAATGTGATATTTTCATTAAAATCAAATTTATTTAAAATTAACAAAGGTTAATACTCAAAGATGATACGATACACCACCACCACACACATTTTTTTTTCTGCTTACTTTTTTGCAGTTGAAAACCGCACAACAAGGCATAATTTCTAATATATTTCGTGTTTCTTAGAGACAACCATGACAACCAATCATGACAACGGATCGAACGATTCTGACAATGAATGTGCCAAAATGATCTAAATCTACACACCATGTTGACTAGCGCGCGATGTCTGAGCGGCACTTCCACTGCATTTTCTATTCCGTGGGTAGAACCCACCCATTCGTGCCGAAACTTGGCTCTCCCCTACTTAAACGCTAAATACTGTACAAGATATATTACTTCTACGGTTACATAAAACAATCTTCACTTGTACAGGTCTCCAGTAGGCGGCGGTCGGGACAAGCGCGTGTCGTTCCACGAGCGCGCCGCGCCCCCAGCGCCCCCGGCTAGTTCTCCGCCCCCGCTGCACGACCCTGCGCCCCCGGCGCCTCCCACTCAGCCTGCGCCGGCCAGAGAGGATCCCGACGTATGTCTTACCTTCAATTTTAAAAGTACTCTTTGCATCATATCATTATTATAAAAGTTGAAATACCGAGGTATTTCAACTTTTATAAAATAATAATAAATGAAAATGAATGAATAAAAATACTAAGATTTATTAATTACAATAAACATTGTTTGAAAATCATGAAAAAACTCTTGAATTGAAACTCTTGAACTCTTGAACTCTGTATTGCAGCGGTTCATCGAGGAAGCTGAGAGTATGCTGGCGGGTCCCGTGTCTCCGCAGACAACTAGCGCTCCCGGCGTCACGCATACACCCGGCGTCATCGGCGCGCAGGAAGTCTACCGGTAACATATTATACCTACTTCACCTGTATTCTGACTCTACATAAACTTATAGACGGCGAACTGGTTTAATCATTTCTTAATAAAAAAAAATAAGTACTACAACCACTTCATACGTCTTTATAGGCTCTTACTAAGGTTTTTGAAGCCCATATTTCCCCTTTTAAAACATATGTAATTGAAAACACAGTTAAGTAAATGTCGACCGCACACACCACATAATTACGATATGACGACAAATGCCTTTAGCAAACACAACGTTGTTACATTTAACTTGCTTGAATTTTCGTTCCGTTGTAATGGAACAAGAGCTTGTTTCATGATGCAAGACGTTGTAGTGACACCGTTTTCATGTCACCACTCAACGTGAAAGATAGCCATAGAATGTAAAGTATTGCGTGCGGCAGGGACCCGCGGGCGCGGCGGCTGGCGGAGCAGCAGGCGCGCGCGTCGGCCGCGCCCGTCCCCGAGCAGCTCTCCTTCAAGGAGAAGATGAAGATGTTCGCGCTCGAGTCGGGCGAGGCCTCCACGCCCAAGGACAAGGTAAGACACTCGCACCGCGACACATGAACCCTCGACCCCACCTATATATCCTGCTGTCCCGCATAGTGTACCTCATCTGCAGTCTTTGGCCTTCAAATTGAGCGCTAGTATGAGCGAATGGTTTGAAACCGCCCTTTCACCCTATTAAGAATATAAAATTTTACTTGGGTTTAAGTAAACACCCGAAATAAACGAGTCAATATTATTTGCAGGTCAAAATATCGCGCGCGCAGCGAGACATCGATGCGGTACATTAATCCCAATGATGACTCTTATTTAACTTATAATGCATTACGATTACATACATTTTGTACATAAATTGTACTTACAGAGGATTTACACAACTCTTTTATCATGTGGTTTAAGAGAGATATAGCAAAATCGTAGCGATATGTTACAGATTGCGTTACAGTATTATATTGACATAATTATTTTATATACGTTTCCATAAGTGTTAGCGAAAATAATGTGGTTCTATAAATAAAAACGAATGCAGCTTTTCGGCAACTTATCTATAAATATTAAATAATTTATAGAGGCAATTTACGGACGAATATAATGACACTATTTTCGCTTTCACACAAGTAACTGGAGGAAATCTTGCAAGTGAATTAACTGAAACCACTGAAGTTTAATACTACATGTCGTCTAACGTAGCACCAATTTTGTATGTTAAACATAAAATCTAATCGAGTTTGAGTTTTCTTTCTCAAATGGTATATTTTTATGGTAATGCAATTTTGAATGATGTTTACAAGATGTCGCTTTAGCAGCTAGTGCAATGATATTATATTTATACATTTCAATTTACCAGACCATATCGTAATATAAGGAATAGTTGATTATTAAATTCAAAATTTATATTACTATTATATGAATATTTTCGGTATTTTAATATATTATATTGTCAACGGGCACATCTTATGAAATAAAGTCGGAACTATTGTGCCATGTATATCGTATAATGGATTTTTCCGTTTACATAATTATAAAAGTTTATTCTCCGGGAGGACCAAATATAAGTGGACATCGGTAGGTGCCTTTGCATGTACCTTAAAAAGTAAATTTACATATCCATCATATTATCACGGCGTAGTAAATGCATTGTAATCCATCAACATTACTTTTTGTAACTTCGTGACATTCCAAAGAACATAGTTTCTTTTCTATTTAAATATGTATGTTATGGAAGCATTCCTATGGAACCTGAATGTATTATATGTTCCGCTATAGCGGTTGTTATCTGTCCAATATTATTTCAAAGATTGACCCTGTTATTACAATTCGAATTTTAACAAAAAGCAATAAGATATTGTGAAGACTTTGTTGTAAATACATAAATTTTATAGTCTAAGCACGTGTTTGTGCCAAAACATGTTCCGTGGTGGCGAACCCGCATGGAGTGGCGAAATTATTGTTTATTTAGTGGCAACCAAGATTTATCAAGAGGTATGTTATGTATTCAAATTGTTACGTAGGACATTATACTACTCAAAATAATGTTTAAATATAATGTACGAATGTTGAAACAGCGAATGTGCGAGCTTTATTGTTATTTTACAAATTAAGATCGAGGTGGCGCTCTCTTTATTTTGTTTCATGATTTAATAAACCTCTGATAGATCTACAGTATTAATTATGTCATAAAGCTTATAATTCACACACATGTCACTAAAGAAACGTCTATTAAGTAGATAGTAAAATTCTTACCTTATTTCTTCGGTCACAAGATACAATCAGCCAACATGAGTAGTATTAAAGCTATAGAACAAATAATTAGCTGTCAGAACACTAGGTTGCTACTCATTACATTATTATGGTTAACAATTTATAGCACCAATTTACTGTATATAATGTAGGTAGTTGGAATCCTTGTGATTATTTAAGGTTTTTTGTACACCTGTTTGTATATGTAAATGTTTATTCGAAGATAAGAGGCAGCAACTGTTTGACTACGAGTCGACGAGACGGAAGGCCTACGTGAGGGTAGAGTTAGATTAGTTCCTGGGAGTACAGTTCCGTAAATTCCCAGTATACACCCAACGATAGTCAATTAGAGAAAGATTGAGATTAATTTTTAAAAAAGGAGTTTTAATGATTTTTATAGCTATACTGTATATAATTACGCTTGAAAATGTCAACATAGATATCATGAATATTTAAGTAACAATTCGAATGATTATTATTATGCAAAACTAATTATATTTGTTATTAACGGTAGCTATTGTCCTTCCTTTCTTTTGAAAATAAATAAAGTAACATTACCTGTATGTTTTATTTTAATGTCTAACCTCCATTCGCAAGACACATTTTTACATTATTCTAACAACTACCAAAGAAGTTTAATAAAAGTGGTGTGGTAGTGGTGGTGATAAAGCCAACGCACTCGTAACTTCTCTGGTTCATGTCTGTGTTCATGGACGGCGCCGATTGCTTACCATCGGGTTATTGGTCAGGTCATAGTGGCCGCAGTAAACACTACCGGGCGTCGGGGATCGAGCGACCAGAACCAGACCCAAACGCCGTGTCTTGTCCCGCACGCACCACAAAGAGCCAATAGTCCACCCCAGACGGGGCGAAGCGTTATATGGTACCACGGCCTCGGCCTGGAGCAGGAGAAGTAAAGGGGGTTTTTAGTCAGAAATAGTCTGACACTTCTCGCCATAGCCTAGGCGAGAGAAGGCAAACGAATGATTAACCCTACGCAAAAAAAAAATACCAACGGCTCCAAGTATAAATAAAAAATGAACTTACGGGTTGCTTACATACCTACCTATGGTCTTCTATTCATATATCATAAACCAAGGAAACATACTTTCTAATTCCACAAAAGTAGTTAGTTTTCAAAATAAAGGACGATAAAGAATGCTGACGACGTAAATAATGCGAGTTCAAAATTGGTAGTTTAAGTATACAATAAATAATTTAGTACATAACGACAAAATACAAAATGTATGATACCTCAAATATTAAAAATAACGAATGCGAAATATTATTAAAGAATGAGAAATTAGAATTTGTAAAATAAACTTTTCACATCTCTAGCAGGATGATTTAACTCAGCAGACTCAGATTTAACGCAGCTTTTACTGCCTGTAAGATCCGACAGCTAATTAATAGACGTTCGACGGCAATTCAGGTACTTTAATTTATAACGTATAGAATTTGTTAAAGAAAGAGATCAATATACGACGATACCATGTCATTTTATTGATGAAAGTAGTATGTATGGTACGATTTTCAGTTAATTGATAGTAATAACTATCAAAATAGATATATGAATAGATTGACTCAGCCTTCTTTCTTCTTGATTTGCAAACGTATTTAGGTCATTCATGAGGTTCTGTATTGAATACTGTAACAAAATTCCAGGCTAATTTTTACCGTTCACTTCACGCCTTTTACCCTTGGTCGGGTAGAAAGTGCATCACTGCACAGTATCAATGTAAGTACAGCAGTGCACTGGCACTGCGCGCAAGACTCGCTTGCCAAGCATTTCAATTTAATGTAATATACACGAAATCTTTACTGGAAAGATTCAAGTCGTGTAGTACAATACAAGCATGTTGCTTTATACATAGTTTAACTTGTAAATTATTGCAAATTAAATGTCCTCTAACCGACGAAATAATCGAATACTAGCAGAATGTAAGTAGTAAGTACCTACTTGTGTCAGCTTAGAGTTGTCATACTCACTTCTATAGAGTCTCATTGGTGGTGGCACGGACATTGGATCGCTCCATTCCCGACGATATGTTTGATTTTGGCGTCGCCGGCACTTGTAGACGTGACAAGTTTATAAATGGGCGCTGTCAATAAGTCTAAGACATGTCAGCTCTAAATTGTCTAAACATATCTAAGAGAATTGATTCAGATAAACGTTTAATAATTATAATTAATATTTATAATTATTTTAACTTTTATATCGTCTTTACATTGCAATTCAATGTGATAAAATGATGAATCCTTAACTTGGGTAACTTCTTCAACTTGAATACTACAACAATTGATCCATAATGATACGATCATTGGAACTAGCTATTTGGAACCATTTTCTTTGTTGCAGAAACTTTTATTAAATTCCCAAAAATGTGAGGAGCCTGAATGAACTCATATGGGATTAATTTTTCAATTTGATAGATTTAGTCTATGATGAATGTGAAAATGCGTAAGAGGTTTAATTAACAAGATAAAGCAAAAATCAAATCAACTCATCTTTGCATGCAAACATCATGACTGTAGTAGTTTGCACACATGAATACGTGCCTACGTGCGGGACAAAGGAAAATAAATGAAAAAAACTTGTAATAGATTAACAGTGTTTATATTTGTTTTGAGGTTAATATTACGTGTGCCTTGTGGCTTAAGGTACCTTTAGGAAAAAGCACTAAAAGATTTTCTAAAACATTATCAACATCGTCATCAGTTAACATGAGTTTCATTTTATCATAACAGAAATGATACAATACTATATACATAACTTGTTTGTTTCCATCCAGATTGACTGCACAATGGCGACATCGAACAGACATTAGTTTGTGCACTACAATTATAATATTACGTTATATCTAGAAATATAAAATTTTACAATATATAGTGCAATTAGAAACATTCAGAATGTAAAGGCGGTTTGTACCAAAACAACTAAAATTATTTTGTTTAAACTAAAATAACACATATTTAGTTCGCAACGGTGGATAATTAAACTTTTCTTATTTTCTGTGACGTAATTTTAAATGACAGTGAACTTTGGCATAATCTTCCACCTCTCTAATTTGGAAATGTGACTTACAATAACAACTTCGCTAAACTGGTTGTGTTCTAATATTAGTTTAACGTGGAAGATATTTATCTAAAAATAAAAGTTATTAACATTTTCGTTACAAAAGAAAGTAACACAAATGTTAGCTAATTTGGATCGACGTCCAAATACTACGTAATAAATTGGCATTCAATGTTAAGGAAGCGGAATCTCAATTAAGTCTTAATCTATAACAAATTTACATTGTAACAATTTTTCTACATTCCATAATCATAATTAACATACTTAATATTAAAGCTTGCCTTCCATTTATTTACATACTATCGGTTATAACTCATGTAACTACGCAACATATAGAAATATATAATAATTATGTTCAAATCAGTAAATGATAAATGCCAATGGAAACGCCAATAGTAAAATAAAATATCACGTATTTAGTGTCTTTGCCCGGCTGCGAGGCGGAGGTTTTGTACGATGCGGCTCAAGCCCGAACTCGCTAACACGATCTGAATAATGTACAGGATGTACAGCCTAGACCTACACAGTTACCGTGGCTAAGCGGTAAGGTTCGTTGCCGTCACATCACACAATTTGTATTACGCTAAGTATAAAAAAATAAACTGTACTCACGCTAATCGTAACTAACCTGTCTTTAATGGCTATAGAATAAGCTTGTACTAATCTTATTAGGCAAAGGATTGGCACATATACCACACGATTTTCATAACATTATAACAACATGCATGCATGTAAATCCACAGTTTTACTTTAAATAATCGTGAGAAATATGACTATAATGGCGAACCGTGTGGATTAAAACATTTAAGTGTAGCGTTTTAAGGTATTCGCACGAGAATCTCAATATATTTGTACTTGATCGTGCGATATCCCATCGCTGCTTGTAAGCTAGCACTAAGCACCTTGTACGTTTAGCAAGAAAAATAAAAATACAACTAACGAGTTCGGGTTTTCACTGCAATTTTGAGAGTGTTACTGCATATCCAATATGCATCTATATAACTAGAGTACTGCATATACTGTGTATTATAATTCATATAAAAATAGTCATATCAAGACCTTATCAATCGAACTGTTACGTAGTAGGTGTGAATTATAAATAGATTCCACACTAATTGTTACTGACCACAAACCAGAACTTCCATTATTGTTCTGCTGCTAATCGATTCTAAGACCGGTTGTAGTAAACTAATATAAAAATAATTTCAAATAGTCATTCATCCTATATCTGTTTTCGTATAAAATATTTATCAATTTGTAAATATATGTCGGTCGAGTGACACACGGTGATAAGTCGGAGCCAGCACCTGTGGTCTCTAGTGTAGCGTTAAAATTGTAAATATAGTATCCATACGACCAATATTACGACTATATAATAATATCACACGCTCGTCCGCGCACTCACTCTCATACAATACAATATACATATATCAACAACAATGGAAGAGATATTAGAAGCCCCGTGTCATTACAATGTTCTACGAAAAAATGGACTTAATTCAATGTAAAAAAATATAATAATCGAACACTCATAATAATTCCAATCTTAACAAATAATACCTTGTATTATGTTTTTGGATTGAATGCTGTGGCACTAGGGACGTGTAGTCTCCTCTTCTACACGGCGCGTCACCCTCACAGAGGTTAAACATCAATGGACAACACAACTCGTCAATGGTTCAAAATTCTGTGAACCTAATAATAATAATATAGTACAATGCGCGCACTACAAAATAACTTCATAATCATACAAAATGCATAGCGTAATGGAAGATTACTCGGGAATGCATCTCAAGTCGTACATCCAGATATATGTCCAACTTATAAAATTGACTTAACTTATGTATAAAGGATAATTTTACGTTAAACCGACTCACTTAGTACTAACAGATAAATCACAGCCGGCAGTGCGGTCGCTACCGGCGCGGGGGGAGCGGTGCGGGAACTAGGGGGGCGGGGGCCGCTGCGGCGCCGAGAAGAACTGTCATTGCGGCGTGTCGCGCGCCGCGCTCCAGCGGTCGAACTCGATGCCCGAGTCGGGCGACACGCCCTGCGGCGCCGCGCAGCCGCAGCCGGCCTCGGCGCCCGCGCCGCCCGCCTCACGCGCGCCCAGCGCCTCCAGCACCTGCGGGCAGACCTCTGTAGCGCACGCCCGCGCCCGGCCGGGGGCGGCGCGGTGCGGTGCGGACCTTACTCAGACTGGCGCTGTGCTCGTGCAGGCCCAGGTCGCGCTCGAACGAGTGCAGCTGCCGCATGAAGTGGAAGTTGGGCGCGATGTCCGTCTTGCGCGAGCGCACCAGCTCGAAGGCGTCGCGCAGGCACAGCCGGTGGCGCTGCATGAGGTAGGCCAGCGTCACCGTCACGCTGCGCGACACGCCCGCCACGCAGTGCACCAGCACGCCGCAGCGCGCCGACATCGCCTCCTCTGTGGACATACACTTGGTCACGGCTCGCCTGCGGACCACATACTTGCCGCTTAGCGAGAAAGATTCCTCTTTGAACGCTGCGTCGGTCAAATGGAAAAATATAGCTGGCAAAAGATAGATAGGAGAATTTTACCAATAAATCTTATGGCCTGTGGAAAGTGTACGGAGAGGTTTTGACTCCAATGGTCCGCGATGGGTATTTTCAAATAGTTGATACCGCAACCCTCCGCTTCAAAAGTGTTGGGTAAGTCTGGGGTCACGTTCAACACATACTGGAAATTCAAAAAGAATGGCATCAGTAATTTGACGGAGTTGTAAAATTGACAACTGTTTGAACATAAGCTAATTTTTTACAGAAATTTTCTTCTAATAAGTACTTTTACTTTTTCTTATTCTGATTGTATTATTTTATTGACTAATTAACATAAAAATTATGTGTTACAGTTGATTTCAAAATATTTGAAGTTATTTACGTATGTATTGAGGCGTGAAACAACCACAGCGTTGTGTTTCGCCGTGTGAGTGAGGTTACCCTCAATCTCCAAATCCCTAATCCCTAAAGGTCAGCAACGGGGAATCGAACCCGCGACATACAATAAAAAAATACAAAAACAAAGGTACAGGTAAGTAAGGTACAGGTACCTAATATTGTACAGATCTCTGAAACATATTGACATACTGCCAACGAAATATTGCCAAATTGGGACATTTGAAAATTGGGAAATCTATCCCAATTTTCAAGTCTCAAGTTGGCCTAGGTAAAGTAGGATTTAGCCGGTAAGAGTGCGGCATGCCCCTCCGCCGTTCCCCGGGCGGAGGAAGTCCATGAGGATTTCCCCCCGTAAAAAAAAAGTAAAGTAGGATAGTTATTAGACAGTTTTGTTATCAATACGCATGGGTCATGATTAAAGTTTGTATATCTAGAAATTAATGACATAGGGTAGTTAAGAATCGAATAAATGTAAACTAATAGTACCTTAATATTATGCCTAGCGAGCGCATCGCAGTCCTCGCTGTTGGTGGAGTTGCCGAGGTACAGGTTGGGCAGGATCTCGATGGGGAAGTCCTGCGGGACGTGGCCGTGCGTGTCTTCGCACTCGGACGACGAGCCCGAGGACAGAGCCTCCTCGCAACCAGACCCGGAGATACGCAGCGACCTGAAACAGGCATGGCACACACGTTATTTCTACATTACTCTTATTCATATATTGAAATTAACCGTAATGCTAATTGTACGCTGATTTTCGTTAGTTACACACAGGAAACAAATTCCTAAACCCGTAATATTTCAGATGAAATTCTTTTGGAAAAATGAATACTCATAAAATATTTATATAAATATTTTTTAACCTGCGAACCCGATTGCCGTTACTCGGTAGTCGCATTTGCGACCACTCGACCCACGAGGCAGTCCAATTCAATAATATAATTATTCGATTAGCCTGAAATGGAATATTTCCTGAATTCTGGCACAACATCCGTAGTTAGGACGCAAATATTATAAACGGCAAGGAAATTATAGTAAATAAAGTAATCCTACAATGAAAGGTACTACTGGCTTGCCTGGCTGCATGACTAATCTGTGTTACTTAATTATGTTCAAAGAGATTTATACATTGTTTATGGCAATTTAGTAAAAAAGGCGCTCATGAGCTTGAGTATATGTAATCTTTTGAAAAACTAACTGATATCGACCTTCAAAAGTACGATATAAGCATAACGTCGGTGTCGAGCGTGGTGGTGGCGCATCCAAGCGTGTTGGTGGCTGTATGTGTGGGCATCAGGGCGACGCGGGGCGGTATCGATCGTGGGGCTGCTCAATGGGGGAGGAGGGCCCGGAGGTTCACCATTCACCTGCCCCCGCGGCTCAATGGCCGCCCACGCAGCGCCGCGTCCTTACTCCTCCACGGCCTCCGCGCCCCGCACCCCGCCCGCGCCCGCGGCTCCAACGCGTCTCCTCCCACGCGACACTTTTCCAAATTCGCCCTCTGAATCGTCTCGTCGCCATTCAGTTTGCTGTTTTGAAAGCAATCAAATTAGGCGAATGCGCGGCCGTCCATGCCCCGTACAGAGCACTGTCGATAGCCTTCCACCTACACAATGATGCCAGATTCGCGGAAAGTTGCCGAATATATTGACATATCAAGAACATTTTTGTCCTCCAAATCGTTGTTACGTGTGCAGGCCTATTATAATATCCACGTCAAATTTGAAGGTCAACATTATAATAAATTTGTATAAAAAATAAAAATATAATTTCGCTAGTGATTAATATGAGAAATAACAGATTTCTTCTTTTCACTTTTAAGTATTTTATTTTTATCAGAGATTCAATAAATTTGGGCACCTCATTTCGCGAGCCCGGGGGTCCCGGATAGAACAAAACTACTACAACCTTCCTAGCTACATTAGTAAAATAAATTTTATTTTTTTGCCGAAGACATACAAAACTGTAACTGGCAAGAATTGTTCTTATTACTATGAAAAACAAGTAAAACTATTTTTTATAGGATCTTTGTGTAGGTAGATGCTTGAGTGCATTGTGTCTAGAAGTTGTTTTAAAAGAACCCTGGTATTCGATCAGCCCCATCGCATTGCCTCAAATGTTTAACTGTTTGAATATCGTCTTGTCTGGTTTGAAGAATTCATTCACTGCTCACAGAATTATAAATAAATGTTGTTGTCAATAACTTGATTTTGCGTCAAATATGCGCATAATCCGAATTGGATCAGTTTTGCGTGAGTGGTCATCAAGATAATTATTTACTGTCGGCAGCCAGTGGGCAGCATGTACTAGGCATTAGTAGGCTCATAGTAGGTAGTGCGCAGTGCGTGGGACGCGCGTAGGCGATCACCAGCCGACACGTCCATTCAGGGGAGCTGCCTCGCCCACGCGACCGTCGTGCTCCGTCCGATCTCATCATGTTAACTATATACTTGCACGAATTTTACCTACACGTGGGTGAACGGAGCCCTGGCTGTTACGCAAGTGCCGATTGTAAACTCAATATTCCCGATACACAGGTGTAACAAGGCTACAGTGAAATGTCACACTGCTTAAACAATGAATGTGAGCCCCTCATTTAAATGCGCGCTCACTACTCGTAACTACTTGTAGTATTGCATTGTGTAAGTGAGTGCAGCGTCGCCGTCGTCGGTACCACGCGAATACAATTCGTATTTGAATGGCTGCGGAGTGTGCGAGGCGGACGCCGGAAGCCGTGACACGGTCGGCCGTGTTATTAATGAACGACTCCGATACGTATGGGCGGCCGGTGCCTCCGCGAACCGACCGAATGGCGAATACGGCCCAAAGTACTGGCTCGGCGTGTTGTGAGTGAGCTACGCGAGTCGGTCGGGTAACTGTGTGCACACTGGAGAGCCGGTGCGTGTGGGCGTAGGAGTGCGTGCGGTGCGCTGGCGCACAGGAATGCGGCTCGACCCACCCGCTGCCAATGACCGCCTGCAAGGGACGGTTTTTTAATGACGACTCGCTAGTTCCCATCCTGGGAGCGGTTTTAACGATTTGACTCTGCCGGACAAAGCATACGAATACGACTTCTAAAATAAGTTATGCATTAGGTACCTGTTTTATGTATGTTCATATATTATGTATGTATGTGTAAACGTGTGTTTATTTGGTATTGTATTTTAGCAAGTGTGTCGAGGTCGCCGCAGGCCACTCTAGAACCAACACTACACTACAGTGTTGTCGAGTAAAATTAACACGACCTTTATTTTTATTCGACTAATACTAGGATTATTTGAGTATACGTATTTTAGAATCAACTTGAAATAGTTCAACGATTACTTAATTTATGTTTTTTATTATTGGAAACATGGTAAAATTAAGTATTATCGATCTTCCAAACATGATGTTTCATATGTGGTTAATTAAATGCAACTTTTGTCTATGGGCAATGTTATTAATTTATCTGCACAACGGTAACGTAGCGAAATAACACTGATTTAATGATTTAATAAATGAAGGGGCAGTGGAGAGGCCAGTATATGATTGTCAAGCGATCAATATAAGAAAATGCGAAAAATAATTGCCTCTTCGTCTTACTTTAAAAAGAGATCGCGATAATAACTAGAACTATTTTGTATTAACTTCATACGTATCTTGTATCGTTTTTACAATAAACGGACTATCAAAATATCACATTATCGATCGGTTTATCGTTTATTCTTTATTCAGTATTCGATAGAAACGTTCCTTACCGTGTCACTATTTTATTTTTACGTCATAATATTTCATCAAAATGTCAGGAAGGAAAATAAATAAAACTCTTTTCCTATCGAGAATCAGTTTGTCAATGTTGTATGACTATAGAGAATAGAAAACGTACCTAGTTCGCTATGTGAAACAAACCATTTATCACTATTATTTTCGCCATTACGTACACAGGTGTAATTAATACAAATAAACATTACATTAAAATAACAAATTACCAGTTTTCGGTAGGTACCGATGATAAGTTATAAATTATTATGGCACTCACAGCTGAATCTGTAATTCAGCTGTGAGTGCATAATAATTTAGCTATGAGTGGTGGTACGTAATTAAATAATATTCAATGATTAAAAATATAAATATAATATAGCTCGTCACCGACCGTGACCGTGTACGGATTAATTCGTGAATGAACTCACGCGGAGCGAGGACTGCCTTGACGTCAACAACAATGACGTCACGTCAACGATAACCTGCCGCCAACCGCGGCCGCGTCGACCAGGATCTACGGATGTCATCATTCGTACACGATGACATCACAACAAATACTTGATTAACTTTTCTCAGAACTATGTTTGGCTACTTTAACTCTACAGCAAAAGGACTAGTCAACAAATTACAAGAAATCGAATAGTTTTCATTTACTAAAACAAATCTTTTTCATTCAAAAACATATAATCTTAGTAGGACCTACTCGATACAGAAAAGAATAAAGATTATCTTTGGATAAAAAATTGATATCACATTATCAAATAGGGGTGTTGACGTCAGTCCTTCCAAGATAATAATGCGACGCACGTCATCCCCGTCTTTTATTTAGTAACCACAGCAAATCATTGTATAAAGATTTAATTAGGGAAGCATGGCGTTTCTAAATATCTATTTATGTATTGTGCGTAGGCGGCATCGTAATTATATTTCGTCCTGTTGTTCAAAGCGTACAACGTCAAAACGTTGTTTTTAAAATGTTTCAAAATAGAACATTGTTATAAGTTAGACGAACAGGTATATCGGGCAAAGGCCTTCCCGTAGGCCTAACTAATTCGTGCGTGTTTAGTTCGTCCGGGGCCGGGAGCTGGCTGGCGATGGCGGAGGCCCTGAGTGGGCCTGTAGCGCGATGCCGCGTCAGCGTGGGAGTCGTTACATTTACACCATTAATTTGAATGTTGCTATTTATAGTTCGGTTGAGTATTATATCGTGAAAGGTAGCAGTCAAGCAACCCACGCGATCAGAAGCGGATGCTTGCAAATCACAGTTGAAAGAAAATCATTCGGGAAGTACTAAAATATATTACATCCTTTATATTCATAGAGTAGCTACGCTCCGATTCGGTGGAAAACTCATCGATTACTTTGCCTACGCATAACACTAAAATAATATTTAGATTATAGCTATTTTGTAACCAGTTACTGCAACCCTGATGACTAATAGTATTTGGTATAGCGGCATGAGTATCGATACAGAAATATTAGGCGGTGATGTCACGCGTCACAAGTTGCCATTCACAGAGTCCGTTCATTAACATCGTATGCCGAACACCTACAATGATTTGCGAAGCGAAAAACTGAAACAGTAAACAGAGAGCCGTGCGACGTGCGCTCACCGCATGCGCGCTGCCTGCATGAATGGAACGCACTCCATTGAGCGCAAGGCTCCGTTTCACCGCTTCTAATGCAATACGCCAATTACGTGTTTAGGTAACTGCACACTTACAGCGCGATCGTGGCGTAGACGGAGCTCGTCACCATTCTAAATGATGAATGAGTTTATTAACCAACTCTTTTTATTCGGTCGACTGCAATGCGGCGGCAGCAACACCAAGGCTTTTTTTTACCTTTGTACAATAATTTGGCAATCAAACTTTGAACTAGTTGTTCAAATACGAAATTAATACATTGGACATTTAAATAAAATCGAAGACGAACATGAAATATTCTTTCATATTGTAGAGTAATTGAACTAAGGTCCATTGCGTTTCAGATTGTTTATGATGATAATGTTAATAGATTCAGTTAGCAGTCTCATATTAAAATGTACAACTCCAGTTGAACAAAATACTAAGTCTCATGAATGGAATATTTGACATTGACAAGATATTCGCACGTGCACTGCTAAGTCAGTCACGGCTGTGTGTAGGTACTTAGGTACTTATTTATTAATATTATATTTATGTACATGTTCATTATCGCTTACTGACTGAGTAACAAAGAGCGGTAGGAAGGAACCGGTGTTTGCACTTTATGAGTAACATCCTCTGTCAGCGTCACCGATACTGAGAATATGATTCGATGTCTTCGTACACATAATTATACATAATGCAACCCACGCAGTGAAACCCAATTACTGTAAATATAAAACGTTTTAGACTGTAAGTACTATTTAACAATATAATCGTGACGTTATCAGCTAATATTGTAATAAATACGAAATATTATTTCTATATGCAATACGAAAGTTTCGTAACGATTACAAGATATTTGTTGAAATAGTTATAGAGCGAAATTGCGACATAGTTACAATTGCTTCTCACGAGATCAGCTCATCAACAACATTATATTGAGAAAGTCCGTCGGTCGTATCGTATCCAGTCTCGCCGGAATCGGTTCGGACACTTTTTCCATCGAAGTGAAAAACCTTCTCACGCGCAAATCTGGTTCCCACGCGTAAGTTTCCTCGTTCTCTCAATTGAGCGAGGCGGCCTGTTCAGAATTTCAATTCTAATGATTTCCTTGATGTAATATGTAAGTACATGTATGTTAGTACTAGTTGTAAGCTTGATTAATGCTCCGACCGCACAACGCCCAAGGACCGATGGTCTTTAGCCTTATAAATATAGCCCAATTTTAACGAGGATTAACGTAATTTTTAAAGCTGTTAAAATTTTCGCGGATCACTTCCCAATGGAGATAAATAAGTTAGTTTCACATGTAACCTCTGCTTGCAGACTATACCTCAGAGAATAAGCTGTCTTGGCTTTCCTCTGTACGTAACACGACAACTCCATTACCTGGCCGTGTATACCCATGGGCCTCGACGGGTGTGTGTTGTATTCACTGATTTTAAATTTTCGTATCGAATTATCGAAATATAATTGAATGATGATTATTGAAAGCAAACAAAAATATATACATAATTTCCGCGAAATGCCTACAAAGAAATGCTTTTAATGCACTGTACGCACAGACTATATTATTGGTAAGGTCAGTTTACCATTTTACAGATAGGACATCTATCCGTCAAATATGATAAATATATAAAAAGTAAAAGACATTTTTAACGTTAATAAAGATGGTTATGGTTATTCGGCATTATAGTTACCCAATAAACATATCTTATGGAACTCTAGGATGATACTGACCGTAGACCCATGAGCGGAAGATGCGGTACATGCTGAGCTCCAGCTTCGCTGCACCATTCTGGATAGGCGCGTCGGAATTCCGCAAAATCTCCTAAAGGGACAAAGAAGAACATTAATAAAACACGAGCTTATTATTTATTTATGAGGTTCTTATCTACAAATACAATTTGTACTTATAAATAGCCTGAACTTTTCACATTTAGCTATTAAAGAGAATGAGAAAATCGACGCCTCCACTATTTATTCCAGTTTCAACGTACGACTACTTGATCAATTGATATACGCATGATATCTGTTGATCTTTATATGTCCGTTATTGTTTTTTTTTTATTCTCAACATTATGTACTATTCGCACCTACTTTATTAATCAATAGCTACTGCCGCGGGGTTTCATTCGCTGCTCGGCTCTATTTGATTGAAGCGTGATTTTTTATAGCCTATAGCACTCGGGAACATTGTAGCTATCAATAAGTGAAAGAATTTTGGGAATCCGACCAGTGGTTCCAAAGATTACCCTCTACATGCAAACTTACAAATTTTACCTCTTTATAATATTAAGTACTAGCTACTCCCGCGCGGTTTCACTCGCCGCTCGGCTACATACAAACTCACAAATTTAACTCTATAATATTAAGTATAGAAGAAGTATAGATAAACAATTGTTATTAGTTTTATCACTTAGTTCCCCCAAGATCTAATTTAGACAAATCGCATGTCTATTAATTATATGTGTATGTTAGAGAAGACTAGATTTGAGGAGACATCTTAGATTAGAAAATTGGCTGTACCATATATCTATGATACGTGAAACGCAAAAGGAACACTCTGTTTCACTTAAACCAAACGCGATTTATCCTCAACTGAGTAGCCATTTAATAATATCCGAGTATGACTAAAGTCTAAACTATGCATGCTTTGAGTCCGATGCACACGGAGTTACTGACATTCTCCCATACATAATGATTCCTTTTGAGCCTGCATACGTCCCAATAATTCTGTTATCAGTCAAACGATGGATTAGGATTATTTATTTAAAATATATTGTACCTGACATTGCTAACAGCTTTAAATTAATTCTAGCATGTATATAATATATTCTCATAATAGTTGTATTCACCGATATCATGTCCTTTAGCCCTTTAGTCCACTGTAGAGCAATACTCTTTCTCTACTAGGGTTGGCCATAATCTCCCTTCTTGTAGGGGATCGTAGTTTTAAAAAGTTTTAGGCTCTTCAAAGAACTCTGTTACCTGGTCTGCCCCTTATATGGAGTTCTAATCTAATCAACAGATACAATACGGGGTATTCGTGTTAAGTTAGAAGAGAAGTGAGTTTTAAAATAAAGTTTTAAAATGTTAAGACGCTCGCTAGTTCCACAAGTTTTATAAAATAAAAATATATCCAGTTAATTTAGTAGGGTATCCGTCCCAGCAATAGTTATAACGCTAGAACATGATCTGGATTTGTCCTTTTGATGCGCTACATTTTTGTCCAGTGCTTCTTAATGTAATGATGCAAATTTGTAGAAATTTCGTATAAACTTATTGTTCGTTAATTTTTAATTTATCAACAATTAGTTAGTTTTCACAAAACACGCGTCTGACATATACAATAAATAAAGCCAGAAAACTTTTTTCTGGGGCGAGAGTTACTATAATTTTAATGAGGAATCCTCGGTCGAATATTTCACTATGACGTATTTTCTAAACAACGTAGACCTCTTGACTTTTGAAAAATCTTCAGAATATTTTGTGGTAAAGGTCATGCTTTTATTTGTTTGAGAGTTGAAATGTTACCCAGCCTACACATTTTAGTCCCACACCCTTAATAACTTTTACAAAGTGGATACAACTGGAAGGATCTTATTGAGCATTTGTAACTTGATTACGCTTCATAAAATAGCATCTGTATTCGATTAATGTGTAGACACGAACATTGTTCCTCGGAGTAGTATTTAACGTTCCGGTGCACGGCAGAGCGGACAACGCAGCGTTTCCGTCGCGTTCGGTCGCTTCCTGTCGTCCGCTGTTCAGCCCACGATTGTGATGCTAATAACGCTCCCATTATGTCCATCACATTCCTATAAGAGGTATATCTAACAGTCACGACTTCGACAGCCCATCATTGACGCCCATTCAATATCCTTCGCATATTATATCATTTGTGGTTGAACAGCTACGATTATCGCTGAAATGAAGGTCGTGAAAATAAGTTTTTGTTATGATCCAGTAAACAACTCATGATAAGGCTTCTCAACTAATCTTATTAAGCACATGGTTATCATAAGTTCACAACCCATGGAAATAATTAAATTCACGTTATCAAATCAAGCCAATATTTTTTGATATAAATATGTCATGATACCTCATCTGAATTTCAATTGTCTACAATTGATAACTACGAATTCGATATCACGAATCAGTAAGAAGGTTTTGGGATGCTAATTCACCACTTCCACATTAAATATGGGCCATTAGGTGAGCTGCAGGCCTAGCAGGCAGGCTGGTATCACGCAGCCGCGCGACGGTGCGGGGGAGAGGCAGGCGGCGGTTCGGCATCGATCCGATGACTCATCGCGGCCCATTCATCCGCCGCACTCAATGAACCCGTCGTACCCTCCTCCACGTCTCTGACACCCCCCTCCCCCACTTTCCACGCTCGTCCTCGGTAGCAAGGACTCCATAAAATTCACCCCACGCCGAGCAAACCCAATCCTTCAGCCCGCTACACCCACACAATATAAACGTGATTGTTTCGCACATATTTAGCACCCACACATACACCGCAAACATTCATGCAACAAAGTTTATTCTAGCTTAATATGTGATTTTTAGAAAGTCAGATTATTTATATTACTTAAATCTGGCTGCTATAAGTGTGGCCGCAACCCTTGAAGAGGATCAACGTTAATACAGTTCAATATCATGCGTAATGAGATGAAGAAATAAGCATGGCACAGCAGAGCATGCATGGTGTCGACGACGGCTCGGCAGTCGGCACGCGGGGAGGCGCTGGCGTGGCGTGGGTGGCAGGTGCGGACTGCGGGGAGGCCTTGGCCCGGCGCGCGGCCCGCGTCCTTCCAGCTACGTTTATCAACAACCTTGTGCGATTTTAACTACCCAATACATAATTACGTAGACTTGTCAACTATTTATTTAACACATAATTGAATTCTTTTTTTGCTGTTTTTGGTGATTAAGGATGACTTTTATTTTGATTATTCTTCTAGGTTATATATTTACAAATAGATTTTCTCTATATTTTAAACATAAAAAGGTGGTATTGTCAGACAGACTTAAGGAAAACTGTAGGCGGTAGGCGTACATTGAGCTAAAATGCAGTTATTAAATGGGTTGAAGCGAAAGCGTTTGTCATTGATAATATTATGTGGCATCTTTAAATAGACTTTAATCAAGCCTGTTGGAACAATTTAAGCCAATTTACTAAGGTTGGTGGGCGACTTATAAATATGATTGCACATCGGCCTATATTGAATGTTCTTCGAGTTGGGTCAATTAAATCCATTCACAATGATCGTGACCAACATATCCTGTTAAAGAGAATGACATAAAACATTTTAACCTTACGTCATAAACCAATACAGGCAGAGCCAACTTGTACTACAATTTGGAATACTATCTCCTATTCCTACAAAAGTATGAATACTTTAAATGATGTCTTAAGAAAACAATAGAGAAATAACGTTGTAATAAATAAATAACGTTCGGCAAATTTCTGGGAATGTAGCAGATTGACGTCACTCCCAACTATTTGATTCAGGTTCTTAGAATCGACGGGATGGGAGTTTTGGATTTCAAGGCGATATCACGAAAATAGATATTCTGGTTGTACTTACAAAAATGTATCTATACAAAAGTTAACGAAATCGCCCACGCTTTATAAGGGGCTGGCTATGTTAAGATTTCAAAATAAATAGCAATTCTAACTTGTTTATAACACTAAAACATGGATTATACTGCAGCAAGCGGTACGTGATTAAGTCGCAAAATATAAATAATTACGACTAGTCAGTATTTTTTAACAGAATGAATGATGATGAAGGGATGAAGTCCATTTACGTCATAAGGAACTTAGAACCAGTCAAAGGTCAACATTGTAATTATAATTAAAATAATAAATGTTGGAATTATTTATTGATCATTTAAACAGACGATGGAACCACAATTAATAATAAGCATTAGCGTTTACTAGATGTAGATGAAGCTAGCAAGTAGCTATATCTAGTTCACTAACCGCAAAGGCTTAATTTCCTGTTCGTTAATGAAGGTAGGTAGGTTTGTTTGCCAGAGTATTGAATTATAAATGGTCGCGCTCAGGACATGTTGCATTAATTGACTGTCGGCTCGATTTCAAGCTGATAATGAGTGTGGCGCCGTCGACGGCTGCCCGCCAGATAGCCCTCCTGATAATCGTATCAGTGTATTACATCGCGTTGCACCCCGACCTCATATCACACATATCCAGTTTACCATTACAGTATGTATAGTACTTTGCTTGTTATACGCCACCATCTAATTTATGAACCATATACAAATGTACACGAGCGTTAACAAATTGGTGACCTTTACGTGCTTTTACGGCGTAACAAGTTGCCATTTTTTTATACGGAGTCACTGTAGCGAGACCTGACATAAATAAAATCAGAATACAATACGCAGCACAAAATAGTAATCCGCGGATTGGACATTACATCAGCACATAAAAACTGTCAATGCCAATGTTACGCCTTCCGACACATCTAGCTACTTGTTTATACGCACTTCACTCAGCTACAGCTCCATTCAATATTTTAAGTTTCACGTTTATCAATGATCCAATATCGTTTGCTATTCATGAGACCACTCACTTATAACTTTAAACATCAAGTAAGTATGATGAGTTTATAAAATAATAAGCTAAATACACAATTATTTTCATGAGGTCGAGCTAATTCCAACGTCGCCGTCGTCCATTTTTATGGGATTCCGCTTCCCTTTTCCATTTGGTTTTCCTCTACGATCATATTATTATCATATATATATTTGCGTGAGCCATCCACTCCGACCAGATGCACACGATTTCCTCTATGATTATAAATGTTAAGTTCCAAAGAGTTTACATTCAAAGCGGAGCTCGCTCACAACATCCTGTTGTTCGCAAGCACGTGCCATTTATTTTATGAGCGAGCTGCTCCTTACTCAGACACTTCCAATGGGCAATACACTGTCCAATTTAGATCAACGAACGAATTACTTTATTAACAATTGTAATTATGTTATAGTTATTATGTTATAGAAGGATGTTGTTCTTCATTACTTAAAAATATTGTGTATATTCTTAAGTTAGTTATAATCTTAAGTTAGTTGATGTAACTCTTTATAGAAAGAGAAAGAAAAGTAGTGAAAGAGATAATATGTACAGAATCAAAGAAAGAAAGCAGCCGAACACATTTATTTACGTACATATTTTCTTGAAGTTTTTGGGTCTTACTACGTTTATGATATTTTACACCCGCGTTTTAAACTCGGTTTACGCGCAAAGTTGAAATTGACAGGACGTGAGTAAAACGGGAACTTATTAATAAAATTGCGGCGCTCTTCCGTCGGACGAAGACCGAAGCAGTAGCTCATTGCATCCGGTCTGTTTGATCATCCAGACTATATTTGATAAATTATTATGATTCTTTCAACATTCTAAAATATGAACTATAAATGTGTAGCTAAGAAATTTAGATGTTAGGTAGTTGTTACCAGAAAGATAAAATTCAACAAGTTACGAGATTTTATTAATGAAGGTTAATTTATAATCAAATGTTTTATTAGATTGTCTTGCAACGGACTATGTAATAAAAGGGAAGGACCTAAATTACACTTCAATAATTGTTAAATAATCATGAAACTTGGCAATCACATATTTACGTACGGTTTGATGATGGCATTGTAAGGTGGCTAATGGAATCTTAGGGTATCTCCTTGTAAATATTTCGCGTTTGGGATTTTTACATAATGTCGCTGTTGTCCATTGTTCGAATTTTTTTTTATAACCGGGATATATGATTGAAGGCGTAATTTTAGTTTTTTCGTGACCTCAATTCGTTAGACGTGTCTACATTGGCCTGCTAGGTTAGTTTGTTAGTTAAAATTCTTGGTTAGTATATTAGTTCAGTATACAGCATGCGTCAGCACTAATGGGATGTCTTCACTGGACTGATATCACGGTCTTACAGAAAAACGATTGCGTTGTGATTCCCGACCATTCCGTCTCCAATCCCTAATTCCAAATTCCTTATAACCCCCAAAAGTACGACAAGACACTTGTAATTTGTCTGGTGTTGCGGACGTCCATCGGGGCGACGCCGCTTTGTAACAATCAGGGTGTTTGATTGTTAGCCTTTCTAGTCCATAAAAAGCTGCTCACTATTTGTTCAAGTCCAAGTTCTGGATTCATCCACCCTTCTAAGAAAATATCGGCTGGTACAGATAGGACAGAACAATCTTGACATGTGATCAAAGATGTTACGGAAATACTTAAAATTTCTGTGCCCATCTGAGGGTGAATACATATTGGACCGTTAAAAGTGAACGAACAGTAATACTCAGTTGGCTTTGATCTCATTTGAATTGCAGCTGAGCCTTTGTTGAGCTTCAGGAATTTATGACAACTTGCAGCTATTGTTGAAGTCGTCAGATCAATCTGAATAAATTACACGAACTCGTGATAAATGTCAACAACACATTGGTCTTTAAAGAATGGGTATCTAAGAGTTTCGAGAATTTTGCGTCATCGTAAGTCAGAGTACTTGCAAGAACTCCAAAATAGTCTGTGATTTCTCTATTGTACTTAGCTTAATAAGGATAATAATACAAACTAATATTATAAATGCGAAAGTAACTCTTTTTGTCTGTCTTTTCCCCCACGTCTAACTACACATGTCTAGGTTCAGTAACCAATTTGTGTGAAATTTGGTACAGACATAGTTTGGAGAAAGGACATAGGATAGAAAAAATCTGCAGGAAGTCACTATTCCACGCGAACAGTCGCGGGCAAATGTTGTTGTTTAATAGAAGACAATTATTGTAAATGCATTTCGATTCAAACCAAGTAGCTCTACAATTTTTTGTATAAGTAACCTGTTATTCAGGAACTTGTACATTTCATTCAACCACATCATCGTTATTTTGTTATAAGAACATTATACCGAAAATGAACTATTAAACTGTATTCGTTTTCCAGTCCAGAAAATAACATCGTTGGTACAAACAAGCGCATTCGAGACTGTGTTGTGATTATAATCTAACGTCTCGCATTGAGGAGCACAATAAGTAGTCGACTTCCTCTCCCACGTTTGGAGGAGCGGATGCCTCGACTTGCGACCTCCGGCATGCCTCTTACGCCCCTCACACATATTTAAACTAAAACAGATTGAATCCAAGACGATTCATAACATTCTATATTGATAACCGCATCATCTCACACTGGTTTACGTTCTTATTTCTTGTGTTGCACAGTGTTGCACCCCATGTTGCAGAATAATAATAATAACAAAACATCACTTTACTACGAGATTTAAATGAGTTCGCGTCTGAAATGTAGGTACTCGTCTATGTACATAAAATTCCATTTTATTTTATTTTAACTAAGTAATCAATCTAGGAATTGTAATCTGTCTTTGGATCTGGCAATAACATTATCAAAATATTAAAATTTAATTTAAATCATTGCTTTTGCGTGATGAATATTTCATAATCGTATACCTATGTTGCTTTCAAATTCAAAGATAGATAAGTATCGAGAATTTTTTGTCAATGAATATTATGAAACGGTTCCTCGGCGTGGCAACCGGTATTACGTGTATACCTCTAAGTTAGGTAATAATTTACTGAATGAACGCCGTCGTGAGAACAACATATAGATAGCGACTATTTGATGCATTACAAATACGAAGCTATGTAAATACATATATGTAGTACATTTATTTAAGATGTTACAGGTGCTTGTATAATGCACTTTCTATGTAAAAAAATTTATAAAGTTAGTGCTATGTCAAAAAAGTGATTACAAGTAGTGAAAGTAACCAGTTACAGTAAAATAATTACTAGTTTAAAATGCCATTCTGGTCTGGCAACAATACATTTTTAAGGCATGCAACCATTAATTGGGCCCTAAGTTATTGTTTGTGTTACTGGAGTGAAAATAAGTGCTGTCTCTAATCATAAGATCATAATATTTTCTTATATGGTGTTTATACTCATAATTACATGATAAAATACACATAATGACAGATTGATCCAGGACAAAATAATTATATTAAATATCTAACCAGGGTTGCATCTAACCAGTAAATAAATATTATGTTATAATTGATTATATAACTTTGTTGTCTGTGGTAGGGTTTCCACAATGGAGAATAAATTGCTTCCATTACTAACCATACTGGAATATAAAAAGAGACATGACACAACCTGGCCCTGGAGAAACATATTATGTCCAGTAGTTCCTAGAGAATAAGCAAGATGGATAAAGTTGGTTTAGTTGTGTTCTATTTTAAAGGCTTGTGCAGCTGCTTTGCACAAGCTGTGAGTGAAAAAAATGACGAAAAATTATTTATCATTAGAAATGGACTGTGAGGATATGGTGGCCCAGAGCTTCACTTGTTTCTCAAGCATGCATGGTACTAATTACTTTTCCGAGTAATATGTACTTTCTTGGTTTATTTAGACACAAATGATCAAGGATGAATGACAACATAGTGAGGAAGCATTGTCTTATATTTTTTTATTATAACTTTGATATCGACAATGACCCTTGAGCAAGACTGGTGATTAATGCAAAAACTTTATTGATATGAGAATGATGATTAGAAATAGAATACACCAAATAAAAGGGTGTTTTCTTCATTTAATTCCATAGACATTACTTAACATACCAACTTTGGGTGATGCAGAGATATGTTTTATTTTTGGTGGCTATTCTTTAGGTAAATGTTTTAACTACCAAATGCTTACTTTCAGTAAGTGATAAATTGATGCATATTATTTTGTAGAATTAACATTGGCAAAAATAACAAAAATGTTACATGTATGTTCAATTCATATATTATATCAAAAATAATTTAATGAAGCCATTTTCTATGGAATATAAATTGCCTTTATATTGAAATTAACTTTATATGAAGTGAAACTACATTCTATGTGATATACCAAGACAAGTCTTGATATTTGATATCCAGCTCGAAAAGCATTGAAGTATAACTGTTTCAATGTTACTATTACAAATCCCCATTACACTGTGAAATGTGCAGGCATAACTTATCCATTACATTACAAACTTCATATTACTAATTTACTCAAAAAATAATAGCATTGGCATATAAATCAATTATTATATATCTCAGATAATGTTAAGAAGATAAGGAGTTATTTTGAAACTTAAGTAGGATATGAATGAATGTAAACACATTAATAAAGTACATACTTATGAGTTATGTTTCCATAAAAGGTGTGAGTTGGTACAATGAGATAGGTAAGTGAGGTAACTAGCCGACTGTATCATGTGAATACTTGGAAGTGTATGACTGTACAGATATTAAAAAGGAATAACTCAAGGCTCAGATATACTGTCCCATACCAGCTATGAGAAAGGGATATATCCCACTTTTGTTAGACTAATATGGTAAAACAAGGAGTCAACCATACCTTCAAGGCAGACGACCTGCACGCCATCTTGCTTTAGCCTTCGCAGCAGGATTCCATGAACAGAGTCGGGGTCCCGTGGAGCTCCGTCTCCGTACAACACGAATATGCCTCGAGAACGACAATGCGTGATCCTTGCCTTTAGCTCCTTACACTGCACTGTGGACACGAGCTCGATCTTCCCTGCCGCTAACCGTCGCAACATAATACTCGGTATCGAAAAGTTCACTGCGGAGCGGATGTGAGATATTGAGTACTCATTGGAACCGCGACAGTCTATGAGTACCGTATCCCTCTCGTCGGAGCGCAACTTCGCTAACAACCATTCCTTCGACACCAGGTCGCACTCGCATTCAGAGTCCGTAGGCATGTTGTAATTACAACGTCCCCCTATGTTTACACGAGCCCTTTGCGACTTACAATCGCCTGTTGCACTAATACATGTAAATCTTACAAAATGAGTTCATAAACACCATCATTATTGTTACACTAGCTAAATAAATCCGAACTTAGTATATTATAAACCGAAAAAAGCCATTTAGAATAAACACAACAGTAAAGTAACGTCCACCGCGAGCGACCCAGGCGCTTGACGGTGAAGCAAAACGCAACAACGACCGAACCCAAAGAGTATGTAACCACTACGTTTAACCGAACCGAACGAATAAGCGGGAGGGTGTGAAGGGTTGAGGGGCAAGGTGGGCCGTTTAGAAAATGAACAAGAACAACGAGCGGTTAAAGCGTCTACTGCGTCGGCGCGGCGCGCTAATGTCGTTCAAGTCGAAACATTCGACATTCGAAAATCGAATAATCGAATGCCGTGTCTTTTAGTATTAGTCGATTATTTATTTTAGATGAAACAAGATAATCTCTATATTATATAAATATCAATAACACAACAATGCCTTTACCGATTTGGCTAATTTTGGTCTTGAATTATTCGTAGAAGTTCAGAAAAGGTTTAGAAGATCAGAAAACAAATTAATTTTGAAGCAGAACGAAGTTTGCCAGGTAAGCTAGTTAGATTATAAAATAACGAAAGAATCTTCGTAAAACCCCACATATTTTATTTACTTTTGTCTTGTATATTTTTTTTTATGTTTTCCGAAATGAACTCTCTTTGTAAGTCCTTGAAAAAACAAATTTGAATAAACACTTCTTAATTATGGAAACATTTACGTCATAAAGAAAAGTTTATTGAATAGTTTAACTTGTGCAGTTTGGCCTTTCATACAACGACATATTTTATTCATCAGTATATTCGTTCTTCCATATAATGCTTTGATTTACCTTGTACACAAATGTACTAGACATGATACAACGCGCCTCGCAAGTTCGTCTCTACCCGTTGCGAATGTATGAAACCACTATTGGCTTTTGGTGTGCACCAAAGGTGTTGCAGCGACACCACACGCCACTACCCAATCATATATAAATATACACCCTTAAAGTAAAATAAGCAAATACCAACATGTGATCGTTTTGATTTTATCTTATACATTTAGTCGATTAATAATTTCACTTTGTCACTATTTAATCAAATCCTCTGGCTCTGTGTTACAATTTCTAATCTGTGATTTTTTGTCAACTGTCTAATTATTTTATCTGTCAACAAATCACCAAATGTCAAGTCAAACGTAAACGTCGAAAGTGCCTGTCTGTTATTGCGACGAATTGCGGGTGAATTCATTTCCCAGTTTCTTTATAAAATTATTAATTACGTTTAAAAAAAAACAGCCAATATATTTTACTTCAAGATCGTGATTTAATTATTTACGATGGATGCTTTGTACGAAGATTTAAGTAACTACGAAGACGTAAACGCCGTAGCAGAGGTATTGTAATTTAGCGCCAAAAATGTTCTGTCAAACTATTTTTGTAATAACTTTATTAATCCATGATTATAATCATAATTATATCAATGTTACCTGAAATCTAGTAGTGAAAGTAATATTTATCTAATTATTTATAAATTGGCAAAACGTTGTTGATTTTTAGCTACGTGAGGAAAACAAGGAGTTGAAAGTTAAGTTAGAAGAATATGCTAGTGCAATGGAAAAGCTTCAAAAAGTGAGTAAATTAAGAATATACAATGAGCGTTTTTAGCACTATCATGCCTCAAGGGAAGCCTATATTGTAAAAATATAGTGTTGTGTATACTAAATCAAAATAGAATAAAATATTTCACTAACCTTATCTTTCGTATTTTGATCACTTGTCGACTTATCAGAATAGTGCATGTTCAGCATAGACACGTACTATGAGTATCTATGTGAGTATTAGAAATTAAAGAAATCATTAGATGAAACATGTTAAAACTATTTTTATAATGTATAAGACACCACATGAATTGGTATCACGTTAGAGTGTAGTGTATTTTGCAGGATTATGACAAGCTTGAGTTGGAGTTCAAGATGTTGGAGCACAACTACTCATCCTTGTTGAAAACTGCTCGCTCCGAAATAGAGAGGAAAACTAACATGATATCTCAGCTTAATACTGAGTAAGTAAACTCATTTTATTCTACCACTAGCTTTGCATCATATATTGATATAAAGCAGCATTATGTATCCAGGATATCACCTATCTCGGAACCAAAATTGGTCAACACAAACATACATTCTCATTAACTTTCAAATTTAAATATAAGTATGGGAGAAGGATACTAGGTACTGTAAACAAATATTTGTTCTGTGAATGTGTAAAATGTGCAAAATTAATCTGATTGTTTTAAGAGACTGATCTAAAAAAAATTTGTTGCGGGGTAAGCGCAATGAGGTACCGCGACCTCGGCACAGAGCAGGAGAAGGAACAGGGGGGTTTTTAGTCAGTAAGAGTCTGACACTCCCTCCTGCCCGGCCCTGGGCGGGAGAAGTCATTTGATGATTTTCCACTCACAAAAAAAAAAAATCTAAAAAAAATTTGCAAGTTACTATTGTTTCAATTGTTTTATTTTATTTGATACACCTTTTTTAGGAAAGACATGATGGTGTTGGAAGCTTTAAAGAGTGGCAAAAAAATAAGAAGGAATTTTAAAAACCCAATGTTAAGCTCAAGCAGAGAGAGAGCACAGCATGACAATTGTAAAAAGGAGAGGGGCAATGATAAATATGTGAAGGAGGAACCATCACATAGGAGTTTTGAAAGGTACTTTATTATAGTAAAACATTGTTTTAAGGTTACATCCATAACCATAAAATGTGCTGAAATGTCAATATATTTTTATTTAGGAAATTAGAAAATATGTATTTGAATGTTAAGTTAATTAATGTTAAATGTGACAATAGTTTTGCAGTAACTGGTTTTGTTTATTTAATCTGGTTGTGCAGTAAGCAAGTCAGCATTATTAGATTAAAGAAGTATGATGAGGTTATTTCATTGTGTTAAGTTTTTATGATATCTCTTTGAGAAACAATATGTTATAAATAATACACAAACAATGCATTATGAGATTAATTTATACTCTTAGTATTAATAGTACTTATAATTTTATTTTTTATTTCTCCGATACTTGTCTAGTAAAATCTACATAAGCGGAATAGATGCTTGTCTGAGTAATAAAAGATTTTTGGGTCTGTGGTTTTGATATGTGAAGGCTAGGGAGATCTGACAACAGAAATTTCATCATAAGTGTGGAGAACCATACTTAAGTACCAATGAATTGGCTTGATCGGAGTGATACCAGGGCCTCACGGAAAACCTGAATATAACAACCACAGCATTATGTTTCGCTGTGTAAGTGAGGTTACTGGAGGCCCAATCCTTACCCTGCCCCAATCCCTAATTGTTGCCCCAAAGGTTTGGCAACGCATTCGTTACTCCTCTGTTGTTGCGGGTGACCATGGCCGGCGATGAAATAAACCGCTTGCTCGGTTGCTGTCATATGATATCATAACATCGGAAATAGATACGAAATTGAAAATAGTTGATTATGCTACCCTACTTGAGACATTGCCAACTCTGCTCACGAAGTTGACCAGAATCTTGTGGACAAGATATCCAATTGTTTTCTGTTTAACACGCCGATGATCATATATCTAGACTCAGTATAGTTGCGTCGTACATGTACATTGTGCTTGGAGATTGCAGTTCGCAGTCCGGATAACCTGTTAGTTATAGACACTTGTGATTTAAATGTTTAATTTCATTATTTCAGAAAAGAAACAACATCTCTCCCTGCCCAAGACAGGTTCCCTGAATCTAGTACTTGCACTAGGAATAGGTATGAAAAAACTAGTGTCAAAGCAGATTATAGCGATAGGGAAAATAATGTTAAAGAAAATATACCACACCATAAGACTGAACACTATGATCCTCTTCAAGTACTGGCTGGAAGTATTAAGAACAGGAGGAAATCTATGCCAGCTGCCAGGTAACACATTTGAAAACATAATACATATTATTATCCATTGATTGTATTTTGCAAATAATTAACTAATGATTAATTTATATATTTTAGTGCACACAGTGATACACTAAGCCCAGATGAGGATTTTGAACGAAATGTGAAAACCAAAGACACAAGAACTGATAATAGAAACTTGCATAAAGCCTCTCTAGATAGACATAGCAATAAGATTGGAGAATCATCCCATCTGGATGATAGAACTTACAAATATCAGAGTTCCAGTTCAAGGGACATGTACAAAGGTAGAACAAGCAGATATGATACTCCACCACACAGAGGCAGGGAAAACTATGAAGTACCACCGAGATACAGAAAACATCCCAGCCCGGAGCGTGTACACAAGAGACTACACAGAGATTATCAAGATGACTATTACAGACAAGAACAAAGAAGATATCAGGGGAGATCCTTTGAAAGTCCACCTAACTCTCACAGCCGACATTGGCAACGATTGTCAGATAATCGAGCTAATTATGAGAAGCAATCTTATGAACAAAACAAGCAAAGGCATCAATATGAAGACAAACAAAATTCTACTAAATATAGACAATCAAGTGAATGTGATGAACCACAGCCCAAGAGACAGAGGACAGAACATCTTGCTCATTCTGATACTAATATCAAAGAAGATAGGAGGCATCCAGAGAATCAGCCTATATGTACACAACCCATGCCAGCTTTTTCTCCTCATGAATATGATAGCCTTCGTTTCTCCTGTCAGTCCCCAGATTCTGTGCACATGGAATCAGCTATTCCACATCCTGTTAAAGGTAAAAAATATAATGGGTTAAAGTAGGCAACTTCGCATGTTTAGCATTAACTATGTAACATAATGTTTTAGGTTAACATTTTATGCTTGAAGTCCTATTAAACTTGCCATCATCAAGTCTGGTATCATGTCTCTGGAATTAAAGCTTTTTTTTATAAATAATAAAAAACGTATAATTTGAATACCTGTTTTTTATCTAAACTGAGAAAAATAGTGGAGCACCAATAAGATTTTAAACTTTTGCAGAGATCATGGCTGTCGCTGCAATACCACTAGAAGATCCACGACTCTCGAGTTTAAAATATGTTGTTGTTAAAGAAAATGGCGAGGACAGATTATCAACAAATGTTGGTCTGAATGTTGATCTTAAACCAATTGATAGAAGTTATTATGATGTTCCTCCTGTTAATGTTCCAGCTGCATTAGAGCGTCGCCCTTCGACTGACAGTTTTATTAGCGACATCTATCGTGACGTCGATAATCCAATTACAAATATTAATACTTCGTTTGAATCAGGAGAGGTTCGTGAAACTGATAATGAATATCATGACATCTACGACAGACCAAAACCAAGCAAATATGAAACACAACATAAGCAAGACGAAAATGACTTTCCAAAGCAATCACTAAATGTAGAAAAGCCCAGCCACGATAACTACGTTATCCCAAAAATAGGTCAAAATAGAAATACATCACACAACAAAGATGTTCCTATTAAGCATTCATGTGAGACTGTCTCGCAAAGTAAAAATATTCAGAAAAAAGGTGCAGCAGAAGTTTCTCTCCCAAAGAAATCATTCAGCAGTGAAAATAAAAGTGAACAACAACCTGCAAGTTTACCTAATAACAGCATTCAAAGAGAAAATCAAAGTCAAGTAATGCTCAATAAAATGGCTATCGTTGCCAACGATTTAGAGCTCAGTGATGATACCAGTGATAATGTTGACGTACACAAACATGTGGAGCAAGAAAAAGTTGAGAAAAGTTATAAATCTTTGACAAATATCAACAAAAAAGAGAAGGAAAGTGAAAGCCTCGCGCCATCGTTTAATGTAACGACTAACCCAGTAGACGATGTGAAAACGAAAAATACTCCAGATGATGTAAATAGAGAATTAGAAAGTGTAAAGAAGCAAAAGGGCAAAAAATCAAAAGGGAAGTCTAAGTCTAAAGATTCACCCAAAGATTCTGCTGAGAGTTTGGAAGCCAAATGTCATTCTGAAAAGAAGGTGCGGTCTAAAAAAGATAAAGATATAAAACCTAAAAAAACTAAAGAAAAGTTTAGTGATCTTTTTGGTGATAGTAACAGTTTAGTCACTCCGGAAGATTTAGGGATACCTTCATATGTACCTATTTCTGAAGACGCACAAGACGCGGTTGATATTAACATCAACAAAGCCATTGACGCTTCTCCACTTCGGATAGACAAAGAAGAAGTTCCGCTTGTGCAAACGCAAACCCCTATAGAAATGAAAGAAACAACTACAGTTAGTAACGTTTTAAAGGAAGCAGAGTCGAAAGAAAATCACAAACTTCCTTCTCCTATTGTATATGAAAACCTAAATCCTGGTATCGATTCAAACGATACAGATGTTGTTAAAACAGTTATAATTTCGACAGGAGTGCAGCCCGGGATCTGTAACGCAAACACACAAGTGATTAGAAATCCGGCAGATCACTCTATGCCTACAGATGTGATCTCAAAACCAACTGCTTTAGAATATAAAAAACACGATGTGTTAAAAGCCTTGGCCACATCTACACCTCAAAAAGAATTTACAGATAAAACCTCAAAGGAAACTGATGATGGAACAATGGATTCTGCTAGTAAGTCTGATGTGGTCAAAGCAGTTTTAACTATATCTAATGCAGAGCAAGTAACCAAACAAAATGAGGTAAATAGTTTAGATTCTCAAGATGCTCCTGATGTTAGAATATTTATGAAAAGGCGCAGAAAGGTTATAAAACGTCCACCGAACGCGATGACTTAGTACATAAATACGTTAGAAGTAAAGAAGGACTGAAGTAGATCAACCTAGAATATCTGGTTAAGAAGCTTGTTTAGCGCTAACTTGCAACCCGGTACAGACAGTGCGTAGGCGCAGAGAGATAAGTTGTAAAGTTACCAGAGTATTTAAGATCAGATGGTCTTATATTTATAAACTTACGAGTTTCATAAATTATGTTTGATTTCTATTTTTTTCTATGGTTTGATCAGACTGAGATTTTATGTAAATATTATTTTAAGCATTTCACCACCATGCATAAACTTTTTGCTGGACGTGATTGAACTACTCCGTAAAATTTCGTAAGTTATATTTTTAGTAGGTGCTCAACCTAATCTTAAGTTTATAAAAAACAAATAAATACCTTGTTTAGTGAAATTTGAGTGCAGTTTTTGTTGTTGTCAGTATTTTCCCGCTTCCACGAACTGGTCTATCCGATTGAGGATTAGTTTCGTTTTATATTTTTAAATATCATGTGACCTCAGTTCCAACTGCGATTTATCCTTAGAAAAAACCTCGTCTCCTAAATTTTATTTTATTTAAATATTATTTTCTTATGCGACCGAATAAAAAATATGTATCAACATTTTTTTTTTATAATTTTTCTGATGAATGCAGAATGCTTCAGTATTTAAAATTCAACCTATAGTAGGCATATTGTGTCGCATTAAAATATTTTTAGTTTGCCTTTAAGTTCATCTGCTCTCATAGAACAAGTATTGAGGCGAGATACCCTCGCAGTGGCGATGGCAGCACAATGAAATGACATTTAGGTTCAATAAAATTAAATCTTGACTTAGCTTTTGACTTTACAATCGTGCCGTGGCGTGGGTGCGTTTACAAATACAATTTCCCATTTACATTAGAGGTTATGTAAAGCCCTACTTCATTCTTATTCTAAAATAATTTTATGCAGAATTCTTTTTGTTTATATATCTTTAATGTTACATAGTGGAATACTCTTTTAATTACCATGTATTGTGTTGTATAAAAAGTTATTTTTTTTTATTACTTTAAATTGTTTGATCGACACCATGTATTTACTATTGTGTCTGATATACCGACATTCTGTAGGATCGAAACGAGGTGATCCGACAACAAAATAAATTTATCGACATAGCCCAAAGGATCAGCAAACTGTAGTGGCAGTGGGCAGGTCACATTTGTCGAAGAACCGTGACCGTTGGGGTAAACGTGTTCGACAGTTGACTCCACGTCTAGGCAAACGTAGTGGGCCGCCTCCACCTAGTTGGACCGACGATATTAGTGTGGTGGCACTGGGTGACTGGTAGTGGTGGGAAGAGCTGAACATTGAGCTCAGTGGCGTGCGATTGAGTAGGCTTATGTCCAGCAGTGGACGAAATCAGGCTGATGATGATACCGACACTCAATCGTTTGAAAGCAATTCAATTGTAAGCTGTCGTGCTATAGAATTAATGAGCTGGCGAGACATTAGCAACTTCAAATTGATCGCAATTTTTTTTCTGGAGTCTGCTTTTAATATTTCTCTAAATATTATGATTAAGTAACGGCAACGACAGCATTGCGAATTAATTATTGCCTTGATATGTCCTGTATCAGTGACTCTGCGGAGCATTGTTTGCGTGATCTGCTGGCATATCTTATGTATGAACTAAATGTTTAGAGGATTAAATAAAATATTTGGTATATTCCCATAACAGTCTTTATTTTCCTTATAAATAACTGTAAATTATATTTACATTTCAGTAGTCTATCTATATGATACATTGGAAAGAATGATTAACTTATACTTATAGGAATTTGTACATAATTAATTTAATTAAAGATACATATAATTTCCATATCAACATTTATGTACATTTACAATTTTAAAACAACTTTGTTGTGTTTTATCCATATATTGGGGAATAGTTGCATAATATGTAGATTAATTAGCGCTAGACCGTTGGTATTGTCGTCATTCTATAAACACCGAATTATTTTGCTTAGACCGTCGACAAATAAGTCTCACAAGACATGTTGCTCTATATATGATTTAAAAATTTTCCTTATTCATTATTACATACACACTGCAAAGCTTATTTCTCATGTTATTTAGGTGTGTTATCAGATGAATACTCAGAATTCGCAATCTATATGTGATAATGGATTATAGAAGATGAGTTAACAGTTTTTATGGCAATCGACCGTGACTTTGAAACGTACATATTGATATCAGTCCATGTAAACATTATATTTGTTGATAATAGCACATTGAACTTGTATTCATATTTTCTTAAAATTATTTTTTCACTTAACTAAGATCGTCAGAATCTGTATAAAAATAAAACTTCCATGCTCAGTACACATGACTTACAATGATACAATAGGGACCGGATATCATTTTGAGATTACGGCAAGTCCCTCGCGGAGTCAGAGCTAAGCTATACGCGCGAACTAAGTCGCGGGCAAATAATCACCAATAACGATGATGGAAACCGTTCACTACATGTAGTCGCTGGGGGTTCTGGGATTAGATAAGGTTCCTATAATGTTGTTGGCAGTGGGGATGTCGTCGTTCCTGGATATGGAGGTCCCGGAGGCGCCGGTGAGCGAGGATCCGGAGGCGGAGTGGCGCTTGCCGAGCTTCTTGAGGACGGCGGGCTGCGGCTCGCAGGCGTCCGCGGCCGGCGCCACCAGCTGGTAGCACACGGCCGACGCGTGCCCCGACCGCACCGACGACAGCGGCGTCCCGCTGCTCCACGTGTTCGTCGCCGGGTCGTACACCTCCACGATGTCCAGGAACGACGTGCCGTCGTAACCTCCTGGAAACATAATCACGTATTAAATACCGCGACATTATGAAGGCTAGCATTATATTATCGTCAAGTGTGGAAGAGACACGCTTCGGCACGAATAGGTCGGCTCGACCGGAGTGATACCATGGCTTCACAGACTACCGACATGTAACAACCACAGCGTAATAGTTCGCCGTATGACTCAGGTTTATCGGAGGCCCAATCCCTTCCCCTGTTCTATCCTTTCCCAATCCTTATAACCGCAACCCTTATCCCCAAAAGGCCCAGCAACGAACTCGTAACTTCTTTGGTGTTGCGGGCGTCCATGGGCGGCGCCGATTGCTTACCATCAAATGATCCATCTGCTCGTTAGCCGACTTATACCATAAAAAAAGAAAAATCGGCTATTATGAAGTCTAAGTCTTATGAATGAAGCCACCAAAATAATGTGAATGTGGTACTAACCGAGTGCATATAGTTTGTTGTCGAGTACGGTGAGTGAGAGCGCTGAGCGAGCGACATGTACGGGCGCGACCAGCTCCCACGTGTCTCGCTCGGTGTCGTATCTCTCCACTGACGCTAACTGCTGCGACCCGTTGTATCCTCCCACTACATAGATGTATTGATTCATTGCTGCCACACCTGAAGAAATAGAACATGATAAAATGAGACTAATTTCTCACAGGAGTGTTCATAGTTCGTTCTTTATCTTATTATTCTCGAAAAAACTTTTTATCTTTATAACTATAACTAAAAAGCGAAAAAGCAATTCCTATAAGATGCATCATATGCAGACTTACCGGCTCCACTTCTGGCTATATTCATGGGCGCTACTTCTGTCCAACAATTATTTTCTGGATGGTAACACTCGACGGAAGCGATTCGCCTGGACCCGTTGAATCCACCGACGGCATACAGCAGTCGGTTCACTACGGCCACGCCGACACCCAGTCGAGCACAACTCATTGACGCTACAGATGTCCAAGTGTCGCGTTCTGGGTCGTAGCTGTGGAGAAATAAAATATTGTTACCTAATTCATCATATAATAGGTACATTATCACGGAAATATTAGACCGATAAAGTGGAACAACGTGGAGTTTTTTTTTATATATTAGGCATATAGGCATAAAACAATCGCATGTAATGGATACGTTGCAAAAAGTTTAACTGTCGCAGTGAATTGTCATAGTTAATCAAATAGTCATATCATGCTTACTGGTTTGATTTCAAATCCTTTGTTCTTGTCTTGTTTGTGTATCTATTACTAATGTTAGTCGTTCATATCGAAGGCTTATTTTGCGTTGTTTTGTATGATAACAATTGCTTACTTTTTGTTCGTAAAAATACATTGGAGCATAATACGTTTTCAAAAAATATTACGGTCAAAAACAATAAGTATCCTTAGACAGGAATGTCCGGTAGAAAATTAACACTTATTAAAAAAAGGGAATACAAAGCGTATTTACGGATCTTTTATTGTGTGGATAATTTAAGTAATGCTTACCATTCTACAGATTCATGATATTCGGAGCCAGCCGATCCACCCACTGCGTAAAGTAGGCCGTCCATTACTGCTACACCTACCTATTGAAAGAGGAACATATTGAGAATTAATAAATAAAATAATCATCATTTGGAAGAATAAGTTTAGGGAAGGGAGACAGAAGTTATAAAATATTTTAAAGCTTTAAAGTGTGGGAGAGGCAAACTTCGTCACGAATGTGTCGGCTTGACCGAAGTAATAACACGGCATCACAGAAAACCGGCGTGAACCAATGACAGCGTTGTGTTTCGCCTTTTTAGTGAGGTAATCTGACACCCAATTCATCCATTCCCCCATCCCTCCCCAATCCTTAAATAACCAAAATCCTAATTCCAAAAAGGCCGGCACCGCACACGTTACCATGTCCATGGGCGGCGCCGATTGCTAACCATGAGGTAATCTGTTTATCTGTATGATCGTTTGCCGACCTATTTCATAAAAAAACTAAGTTTCGTCATATTTTCATATGGGAAAGTTTTAATTATTGGTCCCAAATAGTTTGAAGTATTGAATTATATTCCAAAATACACATACCCTGTGTCTGGGCGTCGACATGGGGCTGCATGGTCTCCAGTGTTCCGTTGCAGGGTTGTACACATCCACCCAGTCGCTGTCGTACGATGAACCCGGCGATGTGTTGCGTCCACCAACAGCATAGAATAGTCCCTAAAGATAAAAAATGGTAAAGAAATTTTAACAGAGGAATTATCTTCAATGTTTATGATTGTCATGTGTCACTAGTATGTATGATATTTCAATTACAAAGAAATATTAGAAACTAGCGGCCCGCCCCCGCTTCGCACGGGTCCAACTATCTCGCTATCAAAGGGTCACTTTTTTTCCTAATCTTTCCCTCTTCTAATATTTTCCTTGATAAGAACCTTCTCCTGACAATAACAAACACAACAAAAAAAGAATTAGTTAAATTGGTAAAGGCGTTGTTGAGTTATGCGCTTACCAACACATTTTGCGATCCATTTTTATATATTAGAAATAACAACTTAGTCACGTGAATTAACTGATAAAAGCTTTAAAAGTTTCAAGTCACATCGGGACTCTTATTCATGAGCAGCGTGCGAGTCGCAGCGACGTCGAGCAGCTCAACTCTCAATTTTCACGTAACTTGTTATTTTCAAAATATATATTTAGTATGTCTCACGATAGTACTCA